CCTGGTGATTTTCAGCATTTTTTTGCTCCTTCCCTCATGAAACAAAGTCACATTTTGGGTCTTAGATTTGAGCCCAGTGCAGCACCCAGGCCTGCTCTGCTCCAGGACAGCAACCCAGGATGAGACCTCAGCACATTTGCCTGTGAAACTTGTGCTGCTGCAGCAGTGTTCATCCCCATCCCCATCCCCAACCTGAAACTTTTCCTTGGCCAGCAGCGTTTTGCCCACCCCCTTGTACTGTCAATAGCATTGCACAGAACAAAGAAGCCCATAAAAGGCACAGCATTGGGCAAGGACAGGCTAGTTACCAACTGCAGCTTTGCATTTTGGCAACATATAGACTGGAGAAATCCAACCCAAGGTGATGCCAAGCAATGCATCTAGAGGACCGTGCACGTTTAAGACATTTGTGCCCCACTTCTGTGCATGCAGCTGCAGGGAAAGGGAGAACCCATGCATCCATGTGTGCACATGCACATCTCTGCACACTTTTGCTAACACCTGTGCATGTGCCTGTGCTTAAGGCTGGCTGGGATTGAGCCTGTTGATCTGTGTCTGTTTGTGTCTGCACTCTGTTGGTGCGGGCTGCCTTTCCCTCTGCATATGTCTCTGTGGCGATGTGCCTGATCACATAGGAAAACTCCTGTGGCTTTTTGGTGCCATTCCCAGACAGCTCTGACAGCAAAATGCACACATTGCACCGGGAAGTTATTAAACAGCAATGGAAGAGGAGGCAGGGTGCTGGGAAATGGTTGCTTTTCAACCTGCGTCTCATCGCCTTGGGGTTTAATGACGGTGTTTCCCACTTGGTTTTTCTGGCTTCTAAGCCAAGATGTACTGAAGTGACACTTTCCTCACTCAGGAACTCAGGAGCTGGGGTCGAACCCCTGTCAGTGCGTGAGTTGTGCCCAGCTCTCCATCACACCCATCTCCTCCAACCAGTCCCCCAGCCCAGCACCTGTACAAGTGGTTTTCCTGCTGGTTTTGAAGGGAAAGGAAAAAAAGGGAATCTTTCCTGGACCTGCACTAATAGCTCAGAAGAGTTGTCCCAGCAAGGGATGAGAGGCAGGCGGTGATCATGGAACACTGCAATGGTGCTCCAGGGCAGAAACTGGGATCTCTCCAGTAGATTAATGCCAGTTTAACGAGCAGAAGCCAACAGTCCCTCAGATCTCAACCATGCCAACACTGCCTGCCTTTCTGTAATGCTGGGGCATGCTAGGGCATGTGCCTGCATTCAAGACGAGGGATTTATTGTAAGAGCTGATGTTAGCACTGCAATACAGGCAGCAAACCTGCCCTCAACATGCAACCAAATTCCCTTTTCCTGGAAACTCTTTGTGTATGAGCACGCAGCCCACGGCCACGATTTCCTGCTCCCCCAGACCAAAGCCATAGGAGCCTCCAGCTCTCCCAGCCCCATTGCAGGCAGCAGATTCCTCCTTCCTGAAGGGCCTTGGCCCTTCCTGCCTAAACAAGATCTCAGGCGGTCGTGTGATTGCATCCCATAGTTTGCCTCTGTACCAAAGATCTCTGGGTTTCCCATCTGTAACTTATCAGAGCCCCTCTTTGGCTCATTCCTTTAACAAATCTTCCCCCATGCACCACACTGGGAGCAGCCCAGAGATAACAACAGCAGATATGGGCTGACCTACGGGATTCGTGGAGTGATCAAACTGTCAGATAACAGAATAAATCTTTCTCATGGGCTGAGGATTAAATCAGAGAGTGTTAGCTGCTGCAGCTCCTTATTTATTTCTGTTCTCTTAAATTGCATTTCCCTTCCCCCCACAAAGAGTGCTTGCTGCCTACAGCTGTAAATTACTGCAAACCTTTACAGTACGCTTAGACACTGACTCTCTTAACCTTGCAAACACCTCTTGTTTTCCATGACGGCCTCCAAAAGCTCTTGGGAAAGAGAAAGCAAAAAAAAAAAGAGGGATATGATATGATAGCAGGTGTGTATCATGATATCATGGCCTGGCCTGAAGATTACCATGGGCTGGGTGTGCAGCTCCTGGCTTTTGCAGTCAGCAGCCGTATGACCTTGGATGCAGCGCCTCACCCCTGCTTCAGCCCAGCCTTCCTCCATCCCCATGTCCTGCAGGCTCACAGGGCTGAGGATGCAAACAGGGCTGCGGGGAGCTGTGGTGCTGCTCTCAGACACGTGGCTGCCTCAAAAAGTAGCACTTCCCCATTGGCTTTGGTGGCATTGAGCAGCTCCTCTGAGATCTGGGTGGAAGAAAACCAGAACAGATACAGAGCACTGAGATTGTCCATAAAGCTCCATAACAGTGGATGGCAAAGTACCCAGAGATGGTTTGGCTGAATGAACAAAGGAACAAACCAATGAATGAATAAATGAAGAATGTGCTATTCAGGTGTAGCAGAAGTGCTGCGTCACAGCCTGAGCAGTGATGGAGCACCTGGTGGGAAGGCAGGGCCAACCCAGGTGTGAGCAACACAGCTGAGTGACCACAAGAGGTGGAGTCAGGATCCAGCCCTTCCCAGCCCTCATTTAAAGGCTGGCACTGGAAATAAGAGTATTTCACTGGAAATCCCTGCCTACCAGAGATCTTTTGAAGGTAAGAATTTTTTCTTCCTTTGTTTCTGCCTCCCCAGCTGCTCTGTTTGGGCTTGGCTTGATGAGTTACTTATCTCAGCCAGAAGAGTAGTCTGTCTTCATCACCTCTGAAAGAACTCCAGAAGATCCTAGACTTGATTACGTATCATAGTGATGCACTAGAAGAGACGATGGTCACTCCACCAGAAAAGAGTCCCATTCAGGAAGAGGAATACCCCATTCCTGAAGATGTCTGGTATACAGATGGGTTCAACAAGGGTAACCTGAGCAAGTGGAGAGCAGTGGCATACCATCCCACCACTGAAAGAATCTGGTTTGAAGAGGGGATGGTCAGAGTAGCCCATGTGCAGAACTGTGAGCCGTGTGGATGGTTGTAACCAAGGAACTCGGTGATGGTACCCTGAATGCCTGCACAGTTGGGCTGTGTACTGGGGCTCACTCTTTAGATCCTGTGCTGGGCCATCCAGGAATGGATTATCCACGCATTGACCTTGTAGCAGCAACCTGCAGGCTTGCAGTAGAGTATAGCATCCTAAATTGCAGGGATGACTGCATCGTGCTGCTGACCTTGCTTCAGCCCCGTGTGCCTCTGCAGGACTGCTTCAGGGTGTCATCTTCCAAAGTCCCTGCTAATTTCAGGTGCATTCATCTCTGGCTGTCCCTTAGGAGGCCCAGAGTTCTGATATGGTTGAGTGCTCCTCTCGCAAACCTGGCAGCCTCCCCAACCAGCTGAGCCCTGAGCAAGCCCTGCTTTGCTAAGCATTGTGCAGAGCAGCGAAGGACAGCAGGGGTGTCATCCCTAAGGGGACAGTGAGATGCCAGCACAGGCCCTGTGCTGCAGAGCACACCCTGAGCCCTTTCCCTGCAATGCTGTGTGTTTGCTTTCAGCCCAGTTCTGTCTCTGCCTCCATCTGAAACTCCAAACTTCCTAAGCAGGATTTTCATGCCTAACCATTTGTATTTGATAGCCGTGCTGAATTACTGCTTTATAAATAGCGAGAGCTTTATCTTGACTCTAACCAGCAACCTCAACTTAAAGCTAAATGCATAATTTACTGCAAATTAAACTTAATGGGACTAGAATAATTATGTTGACTTTTGGAAGTACTTAAGGATAAATACATGATTAGATATTTTTGCACACCGCGAGGAAATATTTATTTCGAAATACGAGTTCTTCCCATTGAGCCTTCTGATGGCACATTTAGAGGTGACACCATTGGCATATAGATTACAGTACCATTAAAGCAACTTAAATCACCAGCACTGGGGGCGTGTTGGTCCCTGCTCCCCATCCCTCCACAGCCCCATTCCAAAAAATGAATATCAGCATCACTGCTAACTCCTATCTTCTCCCCTGAGGATCTGTTTCATTTTTTTTAAATAGAAATGGCTCAATTTGAGATTATTATTATTATTATTATTATTTGTCCTACGAGTCAAAATGTAGAGATATTTCAACAGATCTCATAGAATCTTCATCAGCAGCTCGTGCAGTAACAGCAGGCATGATTGCAACGTGCTCCTGCATTTTGCTTGTGGCTAAACCTCCAGTTTCCCCAAGCTGAGCAAAGCATCTTCCTCCTTCTCTGGGCTCTGTCTCCCACAACCCCCGGAGGTGCAAAGTAGGACACAGGGCACTGTTCCTGGTTGCTGATAGACACTGGGGGCATGCAGTCAAGGACAGATCCCCCCCCCGGGCCAGGGGGACACACAATCCTTACCAGCAGTGCTTCCAGGTTTCATTTTGCATCAGCCCCCTTTTTATTATTTATTGATCAAATCTAATTACTGCATCCTTCATGAACCTTAATTAAAGATGAAAAACAGTCCTGACAAGTCAATTAGATTTTTTTTTTCTTTTTTTTTTTTTTTTTTTTTTCTTTCCCCCTTGGTCTCCATTAAATTCAGACTCAAGTGTTACTGGAAGCATTTAATATCACAATACATTAAACCAAAGGCTGCTCTGTAATAGATAAATCACCCAGGACAATGCAGAAGCTTTCTTTTCCAGAAAGGTTTCCTTCCAACAGGTGTTCAGCTGGGAAAGGCCCTGGAAGTCCCTCCTTGCTTTTGTGCACCTTTCCCAGCCTTGACTCCATTCCAGCTGGGGCTCTGTGGAGCAGTGCTGATGCTCCATGCCAGGAAGGCTCTGCTGTCCCAGCACCTGGCCTTGTATCTGGTCCCCAGAAACATCCTTGCACAAACCAAGGTATGACTATACCTCTTTTTTTTGTTTGTTTTTTCCTCTTCTCCCCACTGAATCATATGATGATTTGGGGTAGAAGAGACCTTTATCATCTAGTTCTCCCCTCCCCTTGCCCCCTTCCCAGCTATAGGGCAGGGACGCCTCCCTCTGCACCAGGTTCCTCAAAGTCCCATCCCAATGCCAGCATGAGAAAGCCAGAGGCCATCACAAATTTGGAACATTTATTTATGCAACTGATTTTCTTAAAAGGAAAGAAAGCCAAAAATAATAATAATTAAAAAATAATAATAATAATAATCCAAACCAAAGAAACAGTCAGCAACAGCTGGATGTGTGTGGTACAACCCACATCAAACATGTCCCTCCTGTGCCCCCCCTGGGTCCTTCATGTCCCCTCCATGGAGACACTATAAAGGGAAAAAATAAAAGCACCACTCGAACCTGTAATACCAATAAACATTATCCATCTTAAGAGCAGTATTTATATTTATATATATATATATATATTTCTTTATATATATTCCTATATACAGGCTGCCCTCGCCTCTTGTCACGTAAGCATCTCAGTAGGGGCTGGAGATGCGTTCATTTCTACAGCATTTTGATTCCAAAGTCTGTCCTAAAAACCCAGAGACATCCAGCAAGGAAATATTAAAAAGAAAACAAACAAACAAACCCTAAGGTCTGAAACACATCAGCAATTCCTCCATTCTCTGCTCTCTCTCCCCAGGACTAAATGGGGTTTTGAACTTTTTTTTCCTTTCCACTACTTTTTGTTTTTTTTCTGGCCAAACTTCATCTGCAAGCAGCAATCCCATACAGCACCTGCATTCCCTGGGCAGCATGGACATGGTGCTGGAGAGAAGGGGATGCTGACCAACCCCACACAGCAGCTGCAATGAAAGCACCAGCATCACCCAAAGCACTTGTGTTACCAACCCCCAACTGGAGCAATGAGACTGCGTGGTCACAAGGCAACAGTGGCACACAGCAAGGATGGAAACAAAGGGGGATGTGTTGCATAGCCCTTGGATAAAGTGTTGTTAAGCTGTGCAAGTTACTCAGCAAGGACGTGGGTGAGCCAAGTATTCAGGCAAATTCTCTCCAAAGGGAGAGATTTATCTTGTGGCCTTTCACCTTCCACCCTTGGAGAGCAGCTGGAAGTTTCTCAGGGGTTTGCTCATCCTTGGAGAAGCCACTTTGGCTCCGAAATCTTCATGCTGCAGACTGGTGCAACCAAACAGCATCTGCTGGGCTTTGGATCATGATGCAGGTATGAAGGCAGCAAGGGTGGAAAGGTTCTGCTGCCCGGGGCAGATGGCAATGAAAGATGTGGATCCCACGTGCAATTTCCAGCATGAGGATGCTGGTTCTCATCTGTTTTCCTCTACTTCACCAAAAAATGACTGACAAAGGGTTGCACTCAGCCTCCGAGATAAGCAGCATCCCCAACTCCTGAAGACAAACCTGCATCCCTTCACTGTGCATTTATGGAGCTGTTTGGAGAGAGAAAGCCCTCACCACAGCTTGCTCCCATTGCCTGATGACAACCTGGCTTTTCCAGATAAAACAGCAAACACTGCACCTGATGTCTGCCTGCAACAGGATGAAAGCAGAAGGCATTAGATGCCTTCAAACATCAGCCCTGTGATTTTGCCTTTAGGGTCCAGGCTTCTGGGTGGGCATCAGGAATATGTGACCAGCTCTTAGAGCCCCCCAGGAAGGAATAATTACTATGGATGGAGAAAACTGCATGGAGACAGACATGCCATAGGGGAAACATCACTGCTGCAGCTTGGAAAGGACATAGAGAGAGCTCTGGGCTGGTCCCCATCAGGGACATCACACATCCCCTGCCTCCCATCCCAGGGTCCCCCTCTGCCCAGGGCTGAATGCATGAAGGACACAATTCACAGAAACACAACAGTGGAAACCAAGCTTGTGTTAAGTAGACAAATCCATGAGCTTCCTTCAGGGGCTTTGCTCCAGTGCAAAGAGAGTCCCCACGCAGGGCAAAACACACTGGAACCACTGGGGCTCCTTGAAGAGCAGCTTCATCTCCAAATACGATTTTTAAAAGATCTTCTTTCCCAAGTATTTCTCCAGCCAAAACAGGCTTGCATCCTTCCGTCCTCTCCTTTCCTTGGGGTCTTCTCCAGCTGTTCCAGATGTGTCTGAGCAGGCCCAGGCAGTGCTGAAGGGCCACTTCCTGTGCTCACCAACTCCACATCACAGCAGGGATGGGACGAGGTGAGATGCAGCATCGACCCATTGGCCATGCACTTGGAGCAGTGGGAGGGAAGGCGGAGAGCAGGGGATGGAGAACAGGCAGCACCTCCCCAGGTCCTTTTGTTGCTCCTGATTTGTGTCCTTTTGTGGTCCTTTGCTGTTTCCCCCTCCTCTCCTTCAGCACTGACACAAGTGCAGAAATGTGAGTTTGGCACAAACCCTAAGCAAACCTCTGCCTTTGCCCTCCTGGCGAGGTGCTATCTGGTCTCCAGGGACTCCAAGTATTCCAGTGCTATGTCGTAGCAGAAGTGATACTGCTCCTGTATGGGGGTAGAGGAGAGAGTTAAGATCCCAGCATTGACATCATAGCAAAAATTGCTGTTTGAGCTCATAAGCTTTGTCCATCCTTGTCCTCATTTACGTGAGCTGCTCTTGTGCCTTCCCATTTTCGTGCAATTTATAGCACACAGAACTGTAGGGTAGCACAGACATCAGAAGTGCCCCTCCCAGTGAGATGTTGCTCTTTCAAGCATCCAATGAGCAAAACAGCCAGAAGGTGGAAAATCACCACAAGGCCAGGTTTCAGATGCTCTTGGATGGGAGCATCCTGGGTGCAAGGGAAGACTGAGCCTGGAGGAAAGGGAGGGAGCTCACCTCCCCAAATCCACAGCAGCAGCACAGATAGGGCAGACTGAATCACCAGCACAAAAATCCCATTATCCCCAGGTGGGAGCGGGAAGAGGGGCTTCAAAGTAGGGAGGCTTGGGCAGCTTAGACTAAAAGCACATAATGCTTTAGGATTAAGAAAAGAGATTGTTTCAATTTATCATAATATAAAAATAAACCCCACAGGCACACAGAGGGGGAAGATGCACAGGCTGGATCCAGAGGGAACTGTTCCGCTCCGGCTGCTCTCTGCAGGCCTGCACTCATACACAGGGGGAGGATCTGGCCTCCAGTGGCTTCAGGAGATTGGGATTCCCAGAATAGCTGTTTCAGGTTCATTTGAGCCTGGAGAATGCTTGTGTCCTGATGTGAAATGTTGCCTTTTTAATACCTCGGTAATTTAGCCCAATGGGCCTGGTGGCTTCATGCTTGTCACATCATCTTTCCATTATCTGCACCCCCCCGGTACCCTCCCTCACCTTCCCCTTCAATTTAATTCCTAATGAAAGGGTTTAGAGGGGGATGTGATTTGAGGGGGCTGTGATTTGCGTTTGTCAACTTAGAGATTTCATAATCCAAGCGGGGTAAACATTTCCAGCTGGCTTACTTCTGAACCACCGCCAGGCACCAGCCCAGCACTGGAGATGTGGGGTCAGACGTGCTGCTCCTGCCCCAACCCTGCCATCAGGGACCCAGAATAGGGCACAAGATTTCTGCCCGCAGCTGCCCCAAAAGAAACAGCGTTTTGGGGTACATGCATCCTCCAGAACCCCTTTTGCTGTTGGAGACTTGCAGGAAGGTGGATGCAAAGGGAGAAGCAGTTAACACGGATGCTGGTAGTGCCTGCTGCTTACCAAGGTCTCCACCATATTTGGCTTGTAGTTGCGGAGGGTCTTGGCAGCATAGAAGATATCTGCCATGTTGTGACACTTGATCATCTCCAGGATCATGGTGGAGGCACAGTAGGTGCCACTCCGACCACCCCCATTCCTGGTGGAAGAAGCACATGGTGAGGTCCAAAGATGGCCTTCAAGCATCTTCATGCACCATTCAGTTCCCCCCCAGTCTCTCTCCATCCCCTCCTTCCCAGTACAGAATCCCAACAGACTGGGTGATATGGATGATTCCCACATGGTGACAGGAGCTGTGATCCTGCGCTCTGGTCCTTGCAATAGCCAGGTAAGAGCAACAAAATGCCTTTTTGGTCCAGCAGGGCTGGGGCTCAGACACCTGAGCTCTGTTCTTAATCACAGACCAATTTCCTGAGTGACCCTGGAGAGGCCATCTTGTCCCACTGTGACCCTCTTGCTATCCACAGGGTGACCCAGCCCTGTCCCCCCAGGTTGAGCACTGTGGGTAGCACTGGCTGGAGGTGCTGGCCTCATTTTTCCAGCACTGCAACAAAACCATTCATCCAGGAGTGAAACCATCCGTCACATCCACGTCTGATCCCTGACAGTGATGGGGACTGGGGAGAGGATGAGCGAACATGACGCTGGTGTTTTATAAAGCATGTTTTCAAATTACCCTCCGGCTAATGAAGATGGGCAAAGCCATAATTAATTTTTGATTAAAGGCTCTCCTGCTGTCTCTACTGATCTGTGAACGTGCTGGGTCCCATCTGAGGAGAGCACGTGTATGGGAGAAGGGGATGAGGAGTGCACGTGCCTGGTGAGCAGCCAGCAGTGGGAGATGCAGAGCTCCTCACACCCCCCTCTGCAGCTTGTGACATGCAGGGGACATGAGGACAGGGCTGGGACCAGGGTGAACATCATGGATGCTGCTTGCTGTTGGTGGGGGGACACACCTCATGGAAGAGCTGTGACATAGTGAGTGCTTCACCCCAAACTTGTGTTTTGGAAGAGGCAGCCCCATCTGGGCACAAAATCAGCATGGGATGGGATTTTCAGAAGAATTTCTGTGGGTAAATGAGCTGGTGGCATCTTCCCCAACATCAGAGCCCACAGCCCTCCAGCTGACACTCACAGGCAGTGCACCACAGTCCTGCCATCACCACTCTCCTTCTGCCACCTCTCCACTTGGGCCAGGAGGTGCAGGAAGGACTTCTTGGAGTCTGGGGTGTCTCGGTACGCCGACCACCGCAGGTACTGGAAGTGCCGGACCATCAGGTGCCCCTCCTGCAGCTAGAAAAGCAAACATCATCAGCATTAAGCCATGGGAGCCTTCTTTTGCCTCTGCTGGAGGTTTCATGGAGGGCAAGCCGTGTTTGCCACGTATTAACTGTAGAGCAAAAGGGGAAAAAAACTTTTCCTAATGCAACGAGATGGATGGTTGAGCCCTCTCCCTGACAGCTCACCCCAACCTAATGGACCCACCACTCCAGGCAGCTCCATCAATGTGGTTTATCCTAACCAGCAGCACCTCAAGCTGTCTGAATCTCACAAAACCTGGCAGCAGAGCCCCCAGCTTCTCCAGGGCTCCTCCATCAAATCCTTATCCTGCATGCAGAGGACCTCAGGGGTGTGATTGTTGTGTCTGCTGGAAGCCAGGAGGTTCACAAGGAGCTGCTGCCCACAGAGGGGTGGAGTGTTGGCACCATGCCTTAATAGCCCAGTAAGCTGGTTAGTGGGGAAACCCAAATCTGGTTAGCAGGCTGCGAGAGGAGGATTACATCCATGGAGCTGAATGGGAACAGACTCCAGCCTGGCAGATGTGTGGGGGGGTTCATGTTCAGAAATATTCAGGGCATCAGGAGGTAGAACAGGAGAAAACTCCTCTGGCACCCAACGAGGAGAGCCCCAAAACCAGAGAGAGCCTCACCCGGGTGATGTTCTGCACTCGGAAGAGACGGGACACGATGTCCTCATCTGCTGCTCCTGACACGTACTCCACCTCCATGGGGCCATAGTGCTGGAGCCCAGGCTCAGGCCAGTACTGAAGGCAGGGCTGCAGGGAGAACAGGCACAGTGTAGCTTTAGCCATCACATGGCACGACAGTGGCCCTCAACCCATGGCCAGGACCATCCCAAAGTCACACTACCATCAGCTGGCAACAAGGAAGGGCTGTAGAGCAGCTCCTGCTCCCTCCCACGTCCTGCAGGGCACTGATGGATGGCTCTGGCCAAGGGTCACGGATGCAATTGTTTTCACACCATGACAGCTGGGAAACCAGCAGCGATACAAAATATATGATGTTTGTCACCACACTTTAACAGAACATTTAGCATTTCAGGCCATCTAACGGCCTGGGCCTAACTGCATGGCAAATGTGTTTGAGAAATAATTGGTTATTAATAGGGGCTATAAATCTCCAAGATCTCTAAGCCTTCTAGACTCAGAGCTATAATTTGGATATTAAAACTTCCTTCGGCAAGACACAGTTCAAGTGAGGGATATACCCTCTAAGTCACCTTTCAAAGCTGCCTGCTGTAAAGGCTGATTTATTAGCTGTTGGTCCTAAACTGGTAAACATTTAAGATCCAGCTAAATATCGTTACACGCAGACATCCCTGAAGAATAGATGCCTAGAGAGAGAGACAGGGCTGAATAATGAAGAAATATGGCACAGTCCTGGCTAGGATGGTGCTGTGGGATAGCAGCTGTCCTGCCACGCTGCAGGGGACAGGCAGCTCCTGCTGGGCATTTCTGAACTGGGAATGAAAGAACAGGTGGGGAGAAAGAAATGAAATGTTGGATGTTTTTTCCCCACTGCTGTTGTGGTCCCTTACAGCTGGGCTCAGCTGACAGCTGATGCTTTTGCTGCGTGTTTATGGTGCAGAGACAGCACCATGTGAGCTGTGTGTGTCCAGCTCTTGGATCCACACAACACAGGACCGGTGCTCCATTGATGGCATCCTTGTGACAAATGGTATAACTGCCATTCGGGGTCGTTTACATTGTGTATCTGGTCTCACCTTGTAAAATTAGCCAGCTAATGAAGTCTTCTCCGGCAGCCATTATGTGTCTATAATGCTAATTTTATGTAAAAATCCACTAAGTTTCCTCATTGAATTAACATTACAGACCCAGAGTGGACTTTTACATCTGCTGTGGATGTGGCACAGCTGCACCTCCCCAGTCCCCTTGGCAGAGGGCTTCTGTCCCTTCTCTACAGGTGACAGCAGACATCTCTCTTCTAGCTCAGCAGATCTGGACATCCCATCACACAACAAACCTGCAGGACACCCACTCTGTAGCAGGCTGATTTATAAAGCAGCATTCACAAACCACCAGTCTTTTGGAAGACAAGCACTGGACAGCTTGGCACCGAAACGCTGCCAGGGCAAAGCACTGAAGGGGCTGACTAAGCACAATGAAACCAGCAACTTGCTCACTGCAGGTGAGGGATGGAAGGATGCACCTCACTAGCAAAGTATGTTCCTGGTGGTGTAGCCTTCCATGAAGAACAAGGGAAACCCCGTTTTGAGCTAAACTTAACCAAAAACTCTGTGTGAACCAGCAAAATGCCCCGTGCCTCAGTTTCCCCTTTCTAAAAAGAGAATAAAAATCAGCTCTTTATCCCCCAAACTTTCCTTTGTCCTGTTAAACTACATCTCCTTTGAGCATTTGCAAAGATTACGGTTCTATGACGCAATGCCAACCCAACGTCAAGGCAGCACAGAGCTGCATGCAGGGCTGTTGGCAGCACTCACCCAGGCAGAGTTGGACTGGTTCAGCTGGTTGAGCATAACGATGGAAGTGCAGCCATAGTCATACACCAACCTCCAGAAGTCAGTGGTGGTGTTCTGCAGTGGGTGCAGGGTGACAATGAAGGCAGCACTCTTGGTGTAGCTCTGCAAGGAGGAAGAGCAGAATGGTTAAGGACACTGTGGCAGCATTAAAGCCATTGCTGTCACACCCTGAAAAACCAGTGCAACCAGTGCTGAGGGCCAGCAATGCCATCTTCTCTATGCTTGAGCAGCACTGGTATCCCTGGCATGGCTTCAGTGTGGGTGCTGGGAGATCCATGTTCAGGGAAAGCAAGTCTGGGTTGTCTCTGCCTGCCGTGGGGATGGTTCTCACAGGGAGAGGTGCTTCATATACATAACTAGGAAAGGGAAATCACTTTGGATCCGTGAACGAGTGCAGCTGGACTGCCCCAGACATGAGCAAAAGTGCCACTGCATCAGCCATAGCATTGTTGGTCCCATGTCCTCAGCACCTCTGGGTACCCCAAGCAGCAGAAACAGTAAGCAGCTTTCTTTTTGGAAAGGAAAGGAAACCAGAATGAAAGACCTCTAGAGAATAAGAGACTGCTTCAGCTCTCTGCTTAAAATATAACCCCCTCAAATTAAGGAGGGAGGGAGGGAAAGAGAAGAAGAGAAAAGTTTGGAGGTCTCCAAGATGGAAGCTGGGATCTCTGCCTCTCCATCACACCCAGCAGAAACCCAGAAAAACTCCTACTGTAAAACAGGAGCAGCACAGCTGAGCTTTGGCCCCTCAGCCATCCCAGCACCAGCCTGCCAAAGGTCTGCGAGCCCAGGGCTGGGCATCAATCACTTTCACATTAACACACTGCAGCTCAAACCTCCTCGGAAGCACAAACAGAGCCATGCACACCCTGTGCTGGTGAACTAGTGCAGCTCAGCTAACAGCGAGTCCTTCAGCTGCTGCCTTCTCACCCAGCTCATGGAAATGCCCTCACCGTGCATCACATCCAATTTCTCTCTGCCCTTTGAGCTCCACAGTGAGTGGATTGCATCCTTGCCATGCACATCTCCAGCACCAGTGTCAATGTCAATGGCTCTGCCAGTGGCACCGCAATGCTCAGCATGGACCGATGTGATCTGACAGACGGGTGGACTTACTGAGCAAACCACTTTGGCACTAAAAGAAAATGAGATTTTTTTTTTTTTTTTTTTAAAGAGGCAAATGGGTTTTATCCCTTTCAGCGAGAATTTCATCCAAAGGGCTTTTTGTGTCTGTATAAAAATGTCTGTTCTCTGACCCTGGCTATCCCCATAGCAGAGATTGAGGAAGGGAGGCTCAGTGATGTATAAACACAGAATTGATATGCAGACCCCAAGCAAGATGAAAATAAAGCTGCCTCTGTGCTATAGTCACAGCCTCCATCTGCTGCTCCCGAGCCATCAGCAGCCACCTCCAGTGTAGAAACTGCTTCTGCTGCAGGCAAATGCAAGTACAAGGTCTGTATGAAGACACAGGGAGATATATCACCCAAGAGGGGGGAATAACACAGGGCTGAGCCAGGAGGTGCTGGTGCTCAGGCGCTGGGGGAGGCAGGCAGGCTGGCTGCAGCACACAGAGCTGTAGGGCTCAGCCCAAGCACCCACCTTGCCCAAAGGAAAGTGGTTTTGGTGACAAATGACCCATCACTCACACCCTGAGCCTCTCTGCTCTGCTTTGCAATCATCGGCAGACAGCAAATTGCTTTTCCATGATGGGTGGCCTTTCTGATTGCACCAGGGGACGCACGGTGGCTTTGGGACCACCTGGAAGCCCCTCAAGATTGCAGCAGAATGGACAGGAAGCACGCACCATGGGATGCTGGCTGCACTCAGGGATGCTTAGCACTAACAACTCCCTCCTTTTTCTGTGCTTCAGCTTCACTACAAAAATAAGACCATGCCCTAACCTTCCTTTGTGAAAGATGAAAAGCCCTTCTGAGATGAACAAGATGTCACTGCACAAAGATGGGGTGAGGGACCCTGCTATGGAGGTCCCTGCCCTCCCTCTGCAGGCTGGGGCCGACATGTACCGACATCTTTGTGCATTTGTACAAAATGAGGCTGTGAATTCATGCTGAGCAAGGTTTGTCATGAAAAGCCACCCCTCAGCTTACAACAACCCCATGAGCATGCCCACTCCTGTACTGAAATGGGGCTCAGGCTGTGTTTTGTACGCCGCATGGGTGCTGGCTGCTCTGCAGGATAGGCAGCAAATGCCAAAACTGCACCAGGCTTCCCCACATCCCCTTTGCAAGCCCAGATCCCTCACACCCAAGGGTCAGCAGCCCAAGCAACTCAGCATTTCCACCCAGAAGGACACTGAGGCTCACCCCATCCCCGCCTCCAAGCCTGCACACCACCCAAGGATGTTCACAGCATGGCACGAGAACCCTAAACCCAAGCCAGCCCCTTCCTTCTCCACAGAGCAACACGTACATCAGTTAAGGCCGCGTTGATGTAGTTGTTGCTGTCCCCATCCACAGAGATGAGGAAGGGAAGGCATCGGTCCGGCGGCAGGACGTCCATGCTGCGGTTCCTCTCCCTGTTGCGGGGCAGGAGGGCGATGCTGCACTCTTCCACATCCAAGTGGGGAGTCACCGAGTTCAAGGTCTGTGGGCACACAGTCTCCTCTTAGCTCCCTCCTCCTTGCTGGAGCCAAACCCCAAATCCCCTCTTGGCTCAGCTGGGAGAATGGAGGGGGGGGGGGGGGTGTGTTGGTTCTGGGGTCACTCACCTGGAACTCCTCCCGCAGCTGTGAGGAATTGCTCTGCGGCTCAATCCTCACCATCTCCTTGTAGGTGGGCTTGAACTCGCTGGCAGGGATGCTGGTTTCACCACACAGGCAGGCTTCCAGGATGGCATCGTGGATGAAGACGTACTGCTCCTGTGGGGAAAGGAAGAGGCTGAGCTGGGCATCATGCACAGGAGGTTCCCCTTCTCCCATCACCCAACCCCTTCTCTGCAAGATGAATTTGTGTAAAGCCAGAGCAGCTTGCAGGGAGCAAAACACCCTCAAGTTCTTCTGATACAGCTCTGCCAGCTCAAAGCAAACCACCCTCCAAAGGCTGAAAAGCAATGAGATGGGTGCTGGCTTTCTATGAGATACGACCTCAGGTTGGGCTGGAAATGCTTTACAGCCTTACTTGGCTCTGGCATCAGCAGAAGGATGCACCAACCCTACTCACCTCTGTCTGTATCATGTTGATCCTCCGTGAGCACAGTGTCTTCACACAGTTGTAGATGTCCACAACACCCTCACACTCGGCCATGTCCAACATGACATCCAGAACGATGTAGCAGCCAGTTCTCCCCGTGCCAGCACTGGGGAAGAGAAAAACAAAGCTAATGTACACCCAGACCATACGGCACCACACAAAGCCCCAGGCACCAGCGAGGTCTGCACAGGGCTGGAGGATGGCACACACCTCCGTACACAGCCCTCAGCCTGGTTTTTCCTGCATCCACCCCATCCATCCGCATCCACATGTTGCTGTGCAGGGGAGGGGAGGAGCTCACAGCAAAGGGTAATGAGTGCTTGAGCACAGCTGCAATCGATGCTCTTTGCAATAAACACCTGAGTGCCAACAGTTCCCTCCCAAAGGATGCTCAGCACCAAAGCCTGATGCACGGCTGAGCAGAACACTATGCCTGCAGCCAGACCAGGCAGCAGCCCAAATCCTGACACTTTCCCACATGCAGCCAAACTGTGACAGAGGTTGAGCCCTCTGAGCCCCCCAGCACAGAGCTGCCCCCCTGCTCCTTTCCCACAAAGTCTTCTGCAGTGAAATCCTAATTTCTGGGGCTGATGAATCATTCGTCGTGATTATCAGTGATTACAGACTACAGGAGCTAATCACACTCGCTGTTGCCAGTGAATGAATACTGATGAGGCAATTGACAGGGAGAAATCAAATAAAAAAATCCCTCCCGTTCATCAGATCTTCCTTGTTTGCCCAGCAGAGGAAGAGCCATTAACCTGTCACACGGGGACGCCTGCACGAGGATGGAAAAAAATCACAGCTCTGCTCTGCTTTCCCTCAGCTGAACCAGGGACACCCTGCAGGGATGGGGAACAGCATCCAGCTCTGCTCCTCCCCTTTGAGCAAACGCAGTATTTCAATACAGCCATCACCAGTGGCCACGCCAGCCATCCTCCCATGCCACCGCCAACCCACAGCCCTGGGGATGACAGCTCGACCCTGACAACAAACCCCATCTCCGTCCCTGCCTCAGCTCTTCCTTTCAATTACCCATCTCCATTTTTCCCTGCTAAATATTTCAGGGTAACTCCGAGCTTTTCAAAGGCTGAGCACTCACCTGTAACTCACGTCTTGCTGCCGCACGCATAACCCAACACCCCCAAAACCCACCCCGGATGGGGATGGTCCTCATGCCCACCTGCAGTGGATGACGATGGGGCCGGCATCGGGTGGTGTGGATGCCTTCACACGGCGGATGAAGGCCAGCAGCCCCGTGGCGTGATAGGGGACACCGTGCTCAGGCCAGGATGTGAAGTGGAACTGCTTCACCTCGTGCCGGGCTGAGTAACCTCGCTGCAAGGGAGGGCAATACAGCACGTGGGCATGGGGCAGACAGACTGATGTGGCAATTGCAATGGGGAGGATGCGTCACGAAGAGCCCCGGAGCTTCTCAGCTACCTTGTGAAAAGCCTTGGGGTTAAAGACCTACAGAAGGGATGCTACCGAGAACAGCAAGGAGGGCAAAATCCTGCCCTGACTCCTGGCCATCCCATTTCCTTAGGAATCAAACATTTCCCCAGCCTCATTGTGATGAGTCACTTGAGGAGCCCTATGGCTCTCTGCTCCTCGGATACAAGAGGGTTAAAAACGAGCAGAGAAGGCAGCAGCCCCGAGGCACCCTGGATCTGTTCCACAAGCATCTTTGCTACCTGCCTCCTAACCAGACAGTGATTTCACATTCCTGCACATTAAGAGGTGAATTGCATTGGCTCCATCCCCAGGTACCATGCTGGAAACTAACTGCCACATTACCCACATTGCAGCCTGGAGGGGAAAAAGCACACTTATCCTCCTTTGCAATTACACAGTGCTCACCCTGAGCCACATGCATGAGCTGAGGGCAGAGCCAGGACCAGGCTTGCAACAGAAAGTGCCAAGGGAGGACACAATTGGGGGTGGCTCCTCCAAAAGGTGGAGAAAACCCCACGCTGGGGTAAATAAGCAGGGTATTGGTAAATACCAACAAGGAATGGTTAAAAATGCTCAAGGTTTCTCTTTGCATGGGCTGGTGTGGGCAGGGAGCGTACCCTCTCGAGAGCAAAGGTCCGCACGGCGTACTCTGCCAGCATCTCTGACTTCACCAAGGTGATCTTGATGTCCCCATACATCTCCGAGTCATCCGGCCAATATTTGGAGCATTTCACCTGCAAGAAAGGGACGGGGTGGATTTTTGGCTCCTGCAGAGCATGTTGCAGAGCCAGAGCCTGGAGGCAAACAGAGCAAAGGAGACCCTTACCCGGCCCACTTCCACCAGCTTGGTTATCATCACGATGCTGGAACAGTGCTCCTGCCACACCATGCGCCAGAAGTCGTACACCATCTCCTGCTTGGGACCTGTGGACATAAGGAAAATGTGGTACTCTGGCTTATGGTGCCTGCACTGGGACTGCTGACCAAGTCTGCTTTGCTACTGCCCCATATGTCCCCAGATTAGACTGTTTCTCCCTTTTCTCGCAAAGACAAGACCAAATAACCCAGGGACAAAATCTGGCTGCTGAAATCACTGCTTGCAGAGAGCAAAGAGAGAGGGGACAACTCACCTTGGGTGGCGATGAAGTGGTTGGACCTGTGGTAACCCTGCAAGAGAAGCAGAGGTGTCAGACCCAATGGACAGGACATGGGGCACTCAAACACTGCCCAACAAAACCCTTCCTGGCCAGCAGTAGCAGGTGCTCAGATCAGCTGTGCCACCAGCACGATGCTGCTGCAGCATTCCTTGCTAGCCTGGATCACATCCTATGACTCAGCAAAGGGTGTGACACCCCCCCAACCCAAGTCTGCATCTGTTTGCAGACCAGCACCTCCAAAACACCCCAAACTGAGGTGTGGCCACACTGTAACAAGAACCCAACGAATAATACACATCCCAGCTTGCAGCAGCCACATGGCATGGGGTGATGGCCCCACTCCCCTCCTGCATCCCATAGCAGTGCGAGCATCACTGGCTCTCAACACAGACACGTCAGCCCAAGCAGCAGAGCATTTCCCAGTGCCACAGGGACCCATGGGCACCAGGTGTCCCATTCCTGCCAGCAGCCTTGGCCATTGTTCCCATATATCACACACATGGAGGTGACAGTGGCAGAAGCTGGAGACCTCACCTCTCTCCCTGTCCCCAATCTTTCCATGTGTTTTACCAAGCCTGCCTCTCACAGGTGCAATTTTACACCTTCATGTGGAGCAACGGCCCCACGGCCAGGAGCAGAGGAGCAGGGAACCATCTACTTACTTCTCGGTTAATCCGAATCTGAACGATCCCATTCGGACACAGGTTTGAGAGAGAAAGATCAGAGACAGAGACATTAGTGAGGCAGAGCTCGAGAGGCAGGACAGAGCCACAGGGCAGGAAGGACACACAGGGACAAGCAGGGGGACACTGCTCGGGCACAGGGAGCCCATCACAGTGGTATCAGACCCCTCTTGCTGGACAACGTTCTCTAAGCAGCAGGGTCACCATCCTGGCCCAGATCTGGAAGCAGCACCTGCAACTTCCAAGGAGCCTGAAGAGCCCCTGTCTTCTCCCTCACTTTGCCTTTACCGGAGCCCAAAGTCTCAAGTCTCCCCTGGTCTTGGCATTGCTGGAGGGGGACAGGGGACACCAGAGCCAAGCTCTGCTCAGATTCGTGCACTGCTGGGACCAGGGGTGCCCCGTCAGCACAGTGCAAACCCCCAGCCCGTCCCCATGTTCCTCCTCCACCTCTGCATCCTCTGACTACAGAGGACAGCAATCCTGGAGCCATGCAGAAAGCATGGAGAAGGGAATGAGAAAGCAGAGACAGACAGAAGCTGAGGATGAAAGACAGATACAGCAGCAGGGGACAGCAACAGAAACAAGCACAAATTGCTGATGGACATAAAGCAGGAGGGCTCTTCAGGGACATGTGGTGTGGTCTTCCTGAGCTCCCTCCAGGGTATACAGACCCTGATGCCCTCAGAAAGCTCAGCCCCACAGATCTGTCCCTGCTTACATCAATGTAGTTGGCGTTGATGTAATCCGAGTTGGGATCACCCAGCAGAGGATGGAGCTTCACACGGTGGCGGTCATCTGGAAGGCAAGAGGAAAAGGTGCTGTTTCCTCCAGTGCTGTAGCCCAATGGGAGCTCCCAGGCCCCGACCCCTGCTACGCAAGAAGCTTTCTGCTGCCCCTTACCAGCCAAACCCCATCTGTTTATTCCTTGCCATGGACCAGACACAATAAAGCAAAATAAAACCCAGCCCTCTGGAAGGCTGAAAACACTGTTCAGGGTGTCCAAGCCTTTGCTACATGCACTTACATGTCGACACATGATCCTGCCTCCCTTTGGTCTTGTCTTTCTTCTTTGAAGCATCCCAGCCTTCAAAGAAGCTCTGCAAAGAGAGACAGCTGTCACAGCCTGAGGACAGGGCTCTGGGAACAGCCCTACCTCCAAAACCCTCCCAGGGATCAGGGCAGAGACGTCGATTCCACAGCAGTTCTGCCAGCTCTACACTTCTGTTGCATCCACAGAATGCTCTATTTTCCAGCAAATTACATATTGCTTGTTTTTTTTCTAGTTTGTTTTTTCTCTTTTTTTTCTTTTTTTTTTTTAAATTTCCCCAGATCCTTCTCTCCCCAGCACGGAACAGGTTTGCATGTAATAACAGTAACATTCATAGATTGGCGTAAGAGGAGGAAAGTGGAAGGAAATTACATGTTTTCTCCCCTCCCATAATATCTGAGTGCTTTCAAATGACTAGGTTCCAAGAACATACAGCAGCTTTTCAAGGAGCACTAATGATTATAGCCAGCCCTGGTTTGTCCAATACATAAAAAAAAGGGGGAAAAAAAAGCTCCTGCACTTGAAACAACATTAAACAGTAATTTCACTGGGAAATTTCAATCGCTAGAACTGTGGGACACCAAGAAGCTGAGAAATCAGCATGGCCACGTGCATTGCAGCAGAGCTGTGAAGAATTCCGCGCTCCAAGGACTGCAGCCCAATGGGATGGGATGGGCATGATGCAAGTGGTGACCCTCAGGGTGATGTCCCTCCCCTGGTGGAGCAGGGATGGTCCCTCCTGCTGCCTCTGCATGGCCTTGGGAGCTGCCAGCTTGCAGAGAAATTGCTCATCCTCAGTCTGTGTCCATGCTTACTGCAGGGAGAGTCGATGGGAGAGGGAAGAAGTGGCAAGAGAAGTGACACCGCTTGGCATTTGCCCAGGAGGACCTGAGCAAGGAAAAGCACCTCCAGCACCAGCAGAAGATGCTGGGTGACCTACTGCAGGGCTGGCAGAGCTGCCTCAGCTCACCTTGCTTTTCAGCTGCTGATTAAATAGAGAGCAGCCAGAAACCCAATCAAGACTCAGCCAGAAAAAGCAGGAACACCTCCTGTGCTGACACCTAAAGACTTGGGGAGCTCAGAGAGCTGTGATCTCCAGCTCCTTCCTTCCAGAGCATTGTAGCTCCAGGTCATCCTCTTGTACAAGGGTCCTGTACACCACCACGCCACACCTCGGGGTCCTCATCCACACTACCACGTACCTTCAAAACACAGCACACAACGCTCTCACCTCGTACTCCTGCTTGAAGCCATAGCCTTCTGCTGTCTTCATCTGGTTGATGTGTTGGAGGAGGTCGGCCACGCGCACAGCAGGGTGCAGCTGCCCTGTGTGATATGGGGACCCTTTGCGGCCACACTGGCGGCGAGGAGAGCCCCCCAGCAGGCTGCTGGACTCATTGACCACACTGCTGCGCTGGTCACCTGCAAACCAGGAGGGACACAGGAGATAATCAGGGTCTGAGGCATTGCTCCCATCAGCCCCTCACACCCACAAAGCGAGGACAATGAAGTTCTCCAGTTCTCTGCCCCAACACTGGTCTCTCTCAGGGTGACAAAGTTTGCTCCAGACCCCACCACACTCTCTGCAGCTGTTCTTGCAGCCTGAAGCTGGCAAGGGCCATTACAGTCTCTTAGGACCTCAGCACACCTCTCAGAACCACAGCACACCTCTTAGAAACCAGTGGGCAAGATCTTAAGAGGGCTCACTGCTTATTCTCATTGATTCAAGCACTTACCTCCCATCCAGACCAGTATAAGCTACATGCATAAATATTCACTTAAAGACCTGACTCGAAGAACTGCATTGCCAAAGTCCCCAGCCTATCCTAAAGGTTAATTTTCCTCACTGCTGGATACGATCCTCTTATTTCTAGCACTGACACAAATGGACTTTGCTGAGGGTTAATGCACGAGCTTATGCAGTGTTTTACCCAGATTATGCCAGTGTCATATAATTATTGGCACAGCTCCCCCATGCTCACCCCACAGGGCTGCTGCATGGCCAGCACACATGATCCTGAAATTTGGGTTTGCACGAGAACTGATGCTCCTCATTGCTGCCAAGAGAGACGGCTGCTGCAGATCTCACGGTGCCAGCGAGCAGCTCTGCTGTGACAGTGCAGCCCTGGATGTAGTTTCCCTAACAACACCTCTAAAAACCACCCATGCTGGCTTGCTCAGAGCTGCCAGGTTTTTTTGTTTTTTTTTTTGGCGGGGGGGGTCTGCTCAAATGCAAGGATCAGCCACTCACTTTTGCTGGCTCCTCACGCAGCCTACACAGAGCCCTTCTCCATCAAGCTTAATAGGAAAAGAACTGTGGGTGTTGCAGTGTGCCAGCAGCTCCATGCAGGCTGGGATCTGCACGGTCACACACTGAGGACCCTTTATGAGATGCAGTCCTGGCTTTGCTTAAATGCAAGAAAACTGAGGCAAGGGCCAGCAGAGGGACAGGGAGCAGCACACAGCAGAGCAGAACAGCAGCCCGAGCCCAGGAGGGAGCAGGATCCAGCTCTACAGCTGGATCTCCCAAAAGAAACACAGCATGGCTGGCTATTCTAGCTCCAAGATGGAGAAAAATCTCAGTACAAACCAGCCTGGCTATGAGTGTTTCGAGGAGCCCCAGTAGGACAGTAACTGAAAAATAATACACTTATACAGATGTATTAAAAGGAGGAAAAGTTTGCCCTCTGGGCTTCTACTGTCTGCGAGACAATGCCAGGAATCATATTAATCCAGCATCGGTGGAGAAGAGCTGTGTGTAAAGCAGCATCTTGGAGTTACTGTAACAGATGTTATTAGCATATGTTTGAAACCGAGGCACTGAACGAGTTATTTTACAACTAAATCAGTGCCGAGTCGCGTACTCCAGTGGGTGTTCAGTTATCAGTCTCCCTCTGATATGAAGGCTGGGGCTCTTCAAGCCTCCAAACCCCACAGCTGTGCACAGCTGTGGTCAGAGCCAAAGAGCTGAGCGGGGCACGTTGCTGCTCTGACACTCACAGTCATGGGAACACTGCAGCTCCCTGTCCTTACCACGGTTGCTGTAGTTGTGGGTGTCCATGAAGGACAGCCCCAGCCTCTCATCCTCTTGCAGTGTGCTCTGGTCCGTGAAGCTCCTGTCGATGGCACTCATCATGTGTGTCTTCTCATGGCGGTAATTAATTGTTGCTTTGGTCATGTTGACAGGTTTGCTGCAGGGAAATGCAAAGGGGAAAAGAATAAGGCTGAACCGAGCATCACGGCCAGACCCCAAACCAGCTCCTCAAGCTTTGGTTTATTTGGGGCTGCAGGACAGCTTATTTCCCCTGGTGCTTTGGTATTCTGGTGCCCCAAATCCAGCTGCAGCCTCTTTGGCTTGGGAGAGATGCTCCTCTGCATGGAGCATCTTCTGCAGGCTCAGCTGTGCATCCTCATTGCCCACTTCTGGGGGCAGAACCAGCAGGAGACCTGAGCCCACACCACCCGAGGGACCTCACACTGGTGAGGAAAGGACACTGCAGGATGCTGCCAAAACCCTGAATTCGAGCAGGAGCACAGCCATGCTGGGTATCTGACCCTTTCTGCTTATACTGCCTTCCATCCTAACGAGCTCAAAAGCATTATTTTCCCAAGCCAAAGAGGCCCTTAAGATGTACTTGACAAAGAAAAGGACTTGTTAGAGTGGAGAGCAGCAGAGCAAGGAGGGCAGGAGGGAAGGAGGAGAGAGAGAATGACAATTACTTACGGGTAATAGGAGTAAGAATAGTAGTTCCTCCTGGCAAGCATGCAAACAAAGAGAATGGCACAAATTGCACAAGCAGCTTTTCTTTGATGGAGAAAGTGGGGCTCTAGGGCAGCGTGCAGGGAAGGAGAGCACAGAATAGGCAGGCACCCGCACACCACGAGCACCTCAGAAGGTTCCCCTTCCTCTCAGCCCTCCTCCCCCAAGAGCCATCCTCATTCTGCACTGCCTCAAATCATACATACTCCATACATACCAGGAGAGCAGGTAATGGGCTGCACATGCCCTAACACAGTGAGTTATGGCTGGGGAGCTCTGAGCTGTCATACAAAGCACCAGGGACTTCAGCCCAACTCCGTGCTCAGAAAAACCAAGCACATCAGACAGAACCCTGGCTGCACCCACAGCAGTCCAGGCATCCTGGCAGCAGAGCCCAAGCACCAGCTCTTGTGGCAGCCATGGTCAGAGAGTTGCCCAGGGGATATTTCACGTTTCATGAGACTGAACAGTGAACGTGCTGAGAATTTGGGCCATCCCCAGGGAGGTGGTGTTGCTTCCCCCATCAGGGAACATGGGGCCAGGGTCGCCTACGCCGGCTGTCACCATTCATTACAGACGAGTGGATTCTGGGGGCACATTTCCATTCCACCACATCAGCATTTCCCAACAGCAAAACGCTCCAGAGGAGATTGATGAGCTAATCCCAGCTTCCAACAGCTCCGTGTTTGTATCCTCAAACACTGGGTCTAATTTGTGGCCCCTTCTGCCAGTTCACGCTGGGACACCACAGCAAAGGGCAACGGAAACGCAGCAGTTTTCTCTCTGCTGGCCCAACAGCACCACTCACGAGAACCAAAGGGCTTCAAATCCATCAGCACTACGAGTGTTTGCTCCATCCAGACGATGCCCAGCACCACATGCACAGGGTGGCAAGGAGCCACGGGCCAACCCTGCACACCTCTGCAGTGTGTGCTGCAGTGATGACGGGACACCACAGCCCTACTTTCAAGCTGGCACAAGCCAGCAAGAATCCTTCAAAGCAAACAGAGTCATAAAGAGATCTGCAGATTTGCACGGGCTGTGGTTGTTTCGCTCCCCCTGGCCATTAGCATACTTTCCTCCCATCGCTCCCAAGCTCATTTAATTGCTGCCCTTTTTTCCCCTGCCGTGCCAGCCCTGCTTTTAATGCCCCCCACGGCTCAGTGCTGCCTTGGGCCCCCTGAAGTAAAAGGCCACTTTCCAGGGTGCTGCGCTTCAGCAAAAAAGCAGTGGCTGCATCCCCAGAGCTCCTGGGGCTGTGTGTCCCAGAAAGCCCTCATCCTCCTCCCTCCCATCCTGCTGAGCTTCCCCAACAACAGCTGCATGGCCACAGTCCCATCCCAGATCACAAAGCACAGGGACACCCCCATGGGAGGGGAGTTTGGGGTCCCCAGTGGGTGAGTGTTGGGAAAGCTCCCCTCCAGAACACAAATGAATCGGAATGTTTCATTTAGAGCCAGAAAAGCTGGAGGGGCTCAGCATGTTACTGCTCATGTTTTACTTTAAAAAAGAGTATTTCTGCATTAAAATGAGTCTGGGCAGAGCGGGGATGCTGAGCATCCATATCTTGTGCAGGCACCTGCATCTCCTTGCCAGGGGGATGGGGCTGCTCCCATTGTCCTTGAGCAGAGGGACAGGGATGGGGACAGTGAGGCTCAGCACTGCCCCAACATCCCCCATGCAGCAGCATTTCAGTCCATACAAAACTAACAGAGCTGCACAAAGCTGTAACAGACCAGAAAACACGGAGGAGAGTGATTACGGACTGAAGCTGCAGGGTCTCCAGGGTGAAGGAGCGTCCCAGGACTTTGCACCTTGGTTCCCAGGGTCACCTCCTGCTGTGCCCTTCTCACTGCAGCTGCATGGATTTATTCCATGCCTTCAACCCAAGCAATGCCCCAGATGCTCAACATCTCCCTGCTACCCAGCCAGACTGAATGCCAGCCCCTCCTCAGGCTATCTGACAGGTATAGGTTGGATGTGACAGAGGAAGCAAGTGAAGAAATCTCACCAATCCCAACTACTGACATTAGTTTGGCTGGGAGGAAGATCTGAAGCCCACCCAGTGCAGCAGTGGGGCTCCCAGTCACCTCCAGATAGCACTGCATCCACTGGTTACAGCAGGGAGGATGGGCAGATGGAAGTGCAGGTCTCCTTACCCTTTCCGAATGACAACGATGATGGCTCCCAGCAGGATAATGAGGACGACGAGCCCACCAGCACAGATTCCCAGGATCAGCCCCATCTCCTCTGAGTGCTGAGACACCTCCAGAGGCCGTTTGCTCTCTTTGCAGGCAGCTGCCAGGGGAAAGCATGAGAGGCTCAATGCTCAGCTTCCTCGTGTAACCCCCAGCCAGGGCTGGGCACCTTCCTCTTCCTTGGATGTAAAACCAAGTGGCAATGTCAGGTGGGAAAAAAAAGGGAGGGAAGAGAAAGAAGTGCTCCTTTGGGCACCAGGATGGATGCATGTGCTCCGTGACAATGTTCAGACCGTGGGCAGACATGCTTTGCTGCACCCTGCATGTGGAATGAATGCATGTGGAAATCAAATCACAGAATATCCTGAGCTGGAAGGGACTCGCAAATATCACTGCATCCAGTTATGTGAATTCTATGTAATGCGTTGTGCTGTCTCCTTTACGTGCAGAGGATGCAAAGGATGCTGTAACAGCAGAGCCCAACAACGCCCAGGTCTCTTCCCTGTAATTTTTCCCCACCATATGCTCTGCATGTTTTATCCCATCTGAGTCCCATGAAGGGACTTTATTCTGCACAGCCTGGAGATCCACAGTGCCTTAAGCACATCCCTCTGTCTCCCAATCCCTGGGGCACAATCAGCCCCATCCTACAACAGCCACTACAATACATCAGAGCAAAATTCTAGCAAGAGGAAAAGCTAAATACATAAGAAATCCCCAATCTCAGAGCAGCACTCTGGGTCCATAGCCTCAGCAGAAGAAATCTAGCTGGGATAGCTGCAGTGAGCAAGGAGCTCAGCAGGAGCAGGGAGCTTACCTTTGCGGGCAATGCGGATGCAGTTGAGCCGGGTTTCCTGCAGAGGAAAAAGATGGGGAGTCAGAGGCTGGCTGGATGCAAGCCTGGCTTGCTTTTGCCCTCAAACTGAATCAGTTTCCAATTGATTTACGTTGAAGCACCCACTGCTGAATTATCCGTCCCCAGCATCTCCTATACCAATGTCCTTTGGTTTAACCAGGGCAACAAAACTCAGCGGCGTGCAAAGGGAAGATCCTGAGCGAGCTCTTGGAGGATCTGCACATCACCAGTGAGCTAAAGATTGTAGCCAAAGCATCCTAGGTCATTCAGCAAAGTCTTCACATTCCATCCCTGGTGCTCTGCACGTTCTGCTAATGTTACCATGATGGCTTCAAGCTCAGCTGTCCAATAATCTCAGCATTTGAGCTGTGAATTCAGCTAAAATATTCCATCTTTTGATGTGTTTGATTTCTGGCAGAAAAGAAATCCACTGTTTTTGCAGTTCTCCTCTCTAAGCTTCCTCCAGCACATCAGGACACCAGCACTGGAGCACCATGGGCTCCATCCACGCAGCCCAACCAAAATCTGTCCATGCAAAGTGCCCGGGGCAGCTGGCACAATGCTGCAATCCCAGAGAGTTCCAGGTCTGGCTTCTCCTGCTTTGTGGTCCAGCTGGCCCGAGAACCATGGCAAACCCAAGCTGGGATGCAGCTTTCTCTCAGTGTCTGACAGCAGCCAGGGCAAACCCATTGGCTCCCAGCAGGAAGGCTGTAAAGCACCAGTTATCATCCAGCAGTGCCCAAGTGAGCCAGAGCCGAGATGCAGCAGCCTGTCTCAGCTCTAATTACAACCCAGCGAGGTGTGAAAGATCCCAATGGAGAAGGATTCAAAATTCACATCCCTCCCTGCAAAAAAGCGAGCTGCCAGCCAGTGCGTGGATCTGTGCAGGAGCTGAGATGAGGATGCTGCCATGGTCCTGTTGCTTTGTGTTTGGCAGCTTCTGCCCCAGCTGGAAAGGGGTCTGCTGGAGCACGTGAGGATGGTAAAGGTATCCTGAGGGTCCTTGGAGGAAATCAGCCCGAACAGAGGGCAGAGCTTAGGACAGATGGATCCAGGTGTTGGTGCCAGAAAGCCAAGGAACTGGTGGCCCAGGAATATGTTGACAACTCTTCGCTCCCAAATCCCTTCTTGTCTGAGGGTTCTGTTCCACAGCAGCAGGAGCTGAGGTTGGACCCCTCCAGCCTCAGCAGCCAGGCCCAGGCAGGGGACACATATGTCCCAGGGGCGCCCAGCCTGTGGGGAGGATGGAAAGCACCCAGCTGTGCTCCCAACACGTCCCCGTGGCCCTGGGTGACAGCCCCTAAATAGGACAGTGTGAGCTCCAAGGGTGAGCAGCCAGAAGGACCTAAAGCAAGCCCCACTTCCCAGCACCCCTAGGATGCCATGCAGCTGGTGGCAAAGTAGATATACCAGCATCCCCAAGGAGACCCAGAGACATACAGGTACTCACCCCTCTGAGGTTGCTCATGGCCTGGAAATAGATGAGATAGGCCTTCTTGGGCTCCAGTGGCGGGTTCCAGTAGCCACTGTAGGTCTGGTTGTCCCCTACAGTGAACGGCTTGGCTTCAGTGAGGCTGCTAGCAGGCAGCTCAGCCCCAAAATAGTGCACAGAGCCACGAGACATGGCATCATCAAACGTCAGTGGCACCGGGAAGCACTCCTGCCCACCCAGCTCCCGCTTGATCCTCTTGGGCCGATCTTCCTCCACGATGACCTGGTAGGTACTGGGTGGGTGGAAGGTGCAAGATACAGGTTAACTTTGCAAGGATGGCCTTGCCCTTCCCACCGTGCTCTCAGCCCCTTGCAGTCCTCATTTACCTGATGGGAGCCCCCCGGCCCTGTGCTGGCCGCAGCAGCACCGTGATCGTGCTCTCTGACTCGCCCAGTGGTGATGGCATATCCCCATAGTCGAAGGTAGGAGCTGCAAAGAGAGCACGGAGGACTGAGCAGCAGCCCTTGTGTGTGCAGGGCTGCCTGCATGGGGGAAGCTGAGGCATGTGCAAAACTCTCTCTTCAGCAAGCACTGTGTTTTGGAGAGGACCTGGGGTTGCAGTGAGGGATTCAATGCCACAAGTCCAGCAGGCAGCACAGGATGCAACCCTGGCAGGATCCAAATGCTCCAGCCTTAAGATGGGCCCTTTGTGCTTGGAGACAGCATCTCACCCAACCCCTGACATGGCACTAGCATCACCCTGAGGACAGAAGCACCCTCAAAGCAAGGAAGGGAATCCATCGCACCTGCGCAGAGAAGCTCTCAGAGCCAGATTCCACAGCACTTACCAGATATGTTGGTGGTGATCTCAGTGAGTGCTGTCTGGCCAAAGCCCTTGCCTGTGCGGGCACGAACTGAGAAGAGGTAGGTGGTGCCAGGGTGCAGGTTGGAGAAGACATGGTAAGTCTCATTGCGCAGCTTGGAGACGGTGCGTCGCGGGCCGGGCACGTTGACTGCTGGGTCAGAGGATTCAATGCTTTGGTAGCTGATCTGGAGGGACAGAGTAGAGCATCATGAGTGAGCAGAAACACAGGGAATGTCACAGAATAGAAGAGAATATCCCAAAGTCGGAAGGGACCCACGCGGATTATTGATGCCTGTGCTTGTTGTGTTTTGGGGTAAACGGCAAAGTGTTTGGAAAAGCTGCTGCTGGAAAGCAGTCCTGGCACTGAAAGCAGGGCTACCCAGGAGAGAAACCCTGCAGTCAGAAGGATTTCAGTGCGCTGGATCAATGCTCCCTTCCTCCCTGCAGCACTCTGATAATTCTGTGGGTACCAGAGTTGCCAAGGCTCAGGATGTACCTCGTACTGCGTGATGAGGCCATTGGGCTCCACCGGTTCCTCCCACTTCAGAAAGATCATATCCTCCAGAGGGGTGAATGTGAGTGACTCAGAGGCGATGCCACCAGGCACTGGGAAAGGAAAAGGGTTAGGATGAGTCCCCCTGGGCTTTGCTGTGAGTGCTGGCACTGCCCCCACAATGCAGCCTTCCCCCCCCCCCCAGCAGAAGTGCTCACAGTACCCCAGCTCTCCACACTAGCTAACACCACCACCAGTAACAACTACAAATAATAGCAGCTGAAGGTGTCAGGATTGATATTCACTTATTTTTCTTTATCTTTTATCATCCTTCCCCCACCCCCAACCCAAGGGGGTTGTTAAGGAGGGCAGAATAGGCAATTGTTCAGCCAAGACCATTATTCCCAAGCAGCAGCATCTGCTGCAAGCTTTAGTGCCCAAAAAAAAAAAAAAAAAAAAAAAAAAAAAAAAATCACACCCCTCATTTCAGGAGCAATTAAACCCACTTAAACCAGAAAACCAGCATAGTGCACGTGGGACCAGGATGCTGGAGGCACAGTGGGAACCATCATTAGCAGTTATTACCTTGGGAACAGCCCTCAGGTGGGACACAATCCAGGCAAGATCTCACCGATAGCATCACATTCAGCACAGCTTTGCTGAGCTCTGCTATTTGGGTCCAAGTAGGTGGAGCCAGGCAACCTCACATGGGCCTCTTCCACCCAGATGCCAGCTCTTCCCATCTTCCCTTTATTTTATTTTATTTTTTTTGCAGCTTTTGTTCAGATCTAATTATACAGCCAAGGGAGAGGGATTGCCTTCTGCACACTTCCCACCGTGCAAATACACAATTTCCACTTGATTCACAAGTTAATCTAATCAGAAGCATCATGTCCTACAGGTGTACACGAGACACTTATTAAATTCCTGGGAATCTTTAGGGCAGGAATGCGTGCACCTATAAAACCATATTTCTTCTGCAAAACAAAGGCAGGGTGCTCACCTGTGGGTACAAAACACTCCATGGCCACGTGGGCAGATCCCAGCAGTGTGCAAAGCCCTCTGCCACACACATATACCTGTATTTGCACGTATTTACTCTGGCTTGCAGCCAGCAGGGGCAAGAGCCGTCTCCCCGCAGCACCAACACATTGCTCTGCTGCTGCAGAGGGGAGGGAAGAAAGGAAAGCCAGGAAAGCACCAGCCCAAAAATGGAGCCCTGCAGAACTGTACCACAGATTACATCCATCTGCTTCCTTGGTCAACGAGGTGTGTGACCTTGCCATAAAAGAAGCTTAAGTTCATTAATTAACCAGGACCTTCCTCTCATGAACCCACGTTGGCTGTGACCAATGCTGTGCTGCCTTCCAGATGTTTCTCAGTAACTCCCACAATAATTTTCTCCATAATTTTGCCAGGCACTGAAGTGAGCCTGACAGGCCTGTAATTACCTAGAGAAGCCCCAGTGATGCACAAACAGACAATGCAAACAAAGCACAAAAGATTCAAACAAAACACAATCAAAGGTTCTATTATTGAGTCTTTGCCATCTCCTCTTAATTGCACGTGGGGCTGCTTGTCAACCAGTCCTGGTAGCTCAGATCATCCTCATCAAGTGCAGAGGGGGGAAAGATTTCAGCCTGTCCCTATCAGGTCTGGTTGCTTGAAAAGCAGCAGGGAACACCTCAGTGCCATGGAGATGGAGAGCATAAGGTGGGAATGTCCCCATCACACAGTGAGGTGACTGCAGAGCCCCCAGCTCAGCCACGGCACCCACTGCTGCTCTTCTGCAAGCTTTCAGAGACACTACATTGCCCTGGCCATGGCAGTGCAGGAGCTGCAGCAGCTGAGCTTCACACCCTGTCATTAGCTAATTTAGATAAACTGAGTATCTAATGTAGCTAAATTGAATAGGGTTAGCTGGGCCAAACCCACTCATAACATTTGCAGTGCATCTATGAACCCAAAGATATGTTGATTCCTCCTGGGATGGAAAGTGCTCACTGTACCATGTTCAGTCCAAGGGGGGGAGCAGCCAGCCCTGCTTAATCAATGTATAGTGAGGAGCATCTGGAGTGATTACAGTATAGCAAAAAAACATCTGGAGCTACTGTATTAATATACAATAAGAAAGCAGCTGCAGCAGTCACAGCACAGTGAAAACAGCTGAAGCAATTAGAGATTAAAAAAAAAGGCATCAGGAGCACTGAGCTGGTTGCCCATGGCTGAGCAGGCTCAGGTCTAAGGACACAGCATGCTGATAGGATGCATGAAGTGATCACTGTGGTTTTAGTATTTAGAGATTGAAGTGGGACCAAAGAGCCAGACCAGGTTTGCTTGAAGGGTATGCACCTTTTCTTGGTGCCTGGGTAGGGTACTGGGTCTCAGAAAGCAGGGGAAGACAAATAGTTTGGCTGTGTGCAACTCAAATGCAAAGTTAATGGGAGAAAAGCAAAGGGAAGCTGAGCAAAGCTGTGCTGGGAATGCGCTGACCTCCAGTTCACAGCACTCACCAAGAAACCCAGCAAAGCCAACTCAATCAGCCTGAGCTCTGCAGATGAAAGGAGTCACCTAAGTGCAAAGCATTAATTGCTTTGATCACTGTTGCTATTGCTGCTAGGTTTTAATTCCACAGTATAGGACGAATGAAGGCTCCCCATGTGGGCATGAGTTGAGATCACTGGAACAGGCTGCCCAGGGAGGTGGTGGAGTCTCCTTCTCTGGAGATGCTCAAGACCTGCCTGGATGCCCACCTGTGTGACCTGCTGTAGGGAACCTGCTTTGGCAGGGGGGTTGGACATGATGATCTCTGGAGGTCACAGAAGCATAGAATCATAGAATCACCAAGGTTGGAAAAGACCTAAAAGATCACCCAGTCCAACCGTTCACCTGTTCCCAGTAGCTCCTACTAAACCACGTCCCTCAACACAACATCCAGCCTTTCCTTGAACACCCCCAACCCCTACAATTCTGTGATTCTGTGAGATGGGCATCACTGCACGGGGCACAGCTGAAATCCTACAGGACGGGGACGTCTCTGGGTAGACACACCGCCCCATCACGATCCAACCAACCCACAGCATTCCTCCCAAACCCTTCACGTGTGGGTTATCCCTACCGTCCTCATCCGTCTGGAACGTCACCTCCTTGCCCTCCTTACGGCCCTCGGGGTTGGAGAGGATGAGCTTGACGTGGATGTTCCTGTAGGGCAGCAGGTTTTTGATGGTGTAGCGGTTGGCGTTGCGCTCCATCTTGGCACACTCACGGAAGGTCTGGTTGAGGCCACTGCCCACCAGGTAGCGATAGCACAGCGAGACGCTGTACGTGTGGCAGCGGGTCAGGTTGTAGCCCAGAGGCTCCCATTGCAATGTCAGCTGCCTGGATTGGATCTCGGAGAAAGCCAGGCCTTTGGGGGCCCGCATGGGCTCTGCCAGGGAGAGACAGAATCAAAATACATTGCTGTAAGTGTTTAAGCTAAAGCAGCTTTGATTGCACGGAGGGGAAGACTTCATAGAGTGCAAGTACGGCAGGCCTGCACAGCAACCCTGAGCTCTAAACAGGCTTGCTGCCCCATGTTGCCCAGATTGTGGAGTCTCCTCCTTGGAATTCTCCAATGTGAGCTGGATGTGGTCCTGGGCAGCCCTGCTGGACTTGGTGCGCCAGATGGACCCTTCCCACCTCACCATCCTGTGACTTCCAAGGCCACCAGCACTACTTCTGCTCCTCCTCACCCATGAATGGGACACTGGGAGCACAGCAGTGTGCAGCAGTGTGCCTCCCAACACTGCAACTGAGGTGGCAGCCCTCAGCTGTCCATCAAGCTGATGGCAAACTCTCAATAGGACAGAGTGAGTAAAAAAAAATTAATTATCATTTGCATAAATAGGAGGAGCCAAGCTCCCTTGCCAATAGTATGCATATGAGTGGTCTGTGTTACCTCCAGTTAATTCCTTTCAGGACCTAAAGGGTGAGGAAAGGATGATGAGAGTGAATTTTTGAGGTCCTGGCCCATCCTAGAACAGATCCTCAGGGAGAATCCATGCTGCAAATTTCCATGGGATTTGTGCCAAGGAAGACTTGGGCAACTCAGGGCTGCAGAAGGTATTTGCAACTTCACTGGATGCTCCAGATGCCCTCCTCAAAGGATGTCCTCACTGCCTGCACTCCCAGTCTGAGTCCCTTCTATGCCTGGTTCAAGGACTCAGCTTTGGTACCACCATTAGCAGAATGAAGATTCTCACCCTCATCACCATCAGCAACCAACCCATCACCTTCTTCACCCATCAAGAACCCATCTCCTTATTCCAGCGCATTTAAATGATCAGTAGGGAACAGACAGCCCAGCATCCCCAGGCCAACAAACACAGATACGAATAGCAATTCAGCAAGAGCTCAGCTAACGAGGATGTCTGCAGGCACCAACATCACTGAATATTTCCATGCAATTAGTGCCAGTGCCAAGCCACCCGTGCTCACAGTTGCTAACACAGCTGCACGGACACAGGCACAGTGTCAAACACGGGTGACAGCACTGGGCATCTCCTATTGCTCCAGGGCAGGATGCATTTATCCTTTAAGTGGATTCTTCCAGGGTCCTTTTGGATCAGATTCTGCAAAGCCCACTGCCACCATGGACTGGTCCAGAGATGCAGCAGAATGATGGCTGACACATCCAGGAGGATATGGAAATGCAGCTGCTTCTCTGCTAGAAGAACAACAGTTGCTTAATCCCACCATGTGCTAGGTTGGGAGTGAAATCCATGCTTGTATCCCACTGGAAGAGCACTGGAAGCCTAGACTGGAGGTGGAGACGGTTGGAAATCGAACACAGAGCGGCTCTGATCAGCTTGGAGGTAATCATGAAACCCAGTCTTACTTGCAGCACCTGTAAGAATTAACTGGGAGAAATACTCCTTCCAGCCCCAGGCTGCTGCACCCTGCTAAGGGTTTGCACCTCCAGATCTGCTTCTCTACCAATGTCAGAAGCCAGGCCCCCAGGGTCACGGACACGGCCAGAGCTGCAATGCTCCAGCCCAGAACGTCCCAGCCCTGCAGCTGTTCCTGCTCCACTCCTGCCATGCATTGGTGTGACACCACAGGGACAACGTGCATAGGGGTGGCAGGTCCCAGCTTGCTGCTGTCACCAGCACGATGACAATGCAGGGACAAAGCCATCCCTGTGTTCCAGTGGCTGCTTTCAAGCTCATAAGGAAGGATGCTGCTGGCATAGCACTCTCAAAGGAGCGCCCACAAGGACAGGCACCACAGCCCCTCCATCAAGAGCAGTCAGGCTTGGCTGGTTAAAAACAATAAAATAAGCTCCCAGAAAGGAGCCAACCCACCTGCACACTTGGTGCGGCTGATGAGGGGGGGTCCCGGTTTGCCTGTGCCCCCTTCACCAGGACGTGTCAGCAGGACACTGATCTCATACTCTGTGTCAGGATCCAGGTGCCAGAGTTTGTAGGTCTGCATGTTGACAGCGTGCACCTCTGACCACGGCCCCGAGGTCATGCGGTATTCTATCTCCTTGCGCACGATGGGGCCGTCGCCGATGATGGAGTTGGTGTTGAGCTGGATGATGAGGTAAGTGGAGCCAGCCCGCAGCAGCTGGGGGGGTGCGATGGGTGTTGGAGGCTCTGGAAGAGAGAGGAGAAGCAGCTGGAGCATCTCACCCCATCCCAAAGCTGCAGCATGCATGCCCAGAGGACAAGCAAAACTGATAAGGGAATGACACCGGAGTATTCAACACAAACCAGACATTAATTGTCAGCCCGTGCTGCATGCCACGCATCTCTCTAACAGCCCCTGGAAGCATCAAGGTTCCATATGACCAAATCTGATTATTTGTAGAAGATGCATTGCCTGGCATTCACTAAGGTGCCACAAAGTTTCATCAGAATGAATTCCCTTCAACTGCAAGCAAGAATCAATGAACTAAGGCCAGTGGGAAAGATAGTGTCCCAGTTTTATGTTGAGCCACTGCATGCTGACTTGTTTGCAGCGAGTGAATGCAATCTCAGTGCCCTGACGGAATCAGGAGCGAGAAGGAGCACAGTGCATAGAGATGACAGTGGGCACCCACCTTTCACAATGAGCTCAGCAAAATTGGAGACCCCAGAGCCACGGCTGGACTGGGTGACACAGCGATACAGGTCCTGCTCGCCCTTGGACACCTCGTCCAGCTGGAAGGTGGCCAGGAAGCGCCGGTGACTGATGTGCTTCACGGAGGCAGCGGGGACCACTTCGCCACTCTGCCTCTGCCCAGTGGGGAGAGAAAAGCATGAGGAGGGCTCAGTGTGGCACTCGGAGCCACCAAACGTGGCCCTCGAGGACCAAATCCTTGCCACGCACAGATCTCACCTGCATGAGGAAGCGCTCTGCCTCGGCAGCCTTGCCAGCAGCCACACACTGGAAGGTGGCATTTTGCCCCGCGTTCACCTCCACGTCACCCAGGCGGGAGAAGTGAGGGGCTTTTGCTGTCATAGAACAAAAGAAGTATTAAGGAGACTCTCGTCTGTCTTGTATCTTATGCCCCAAAACTTGCCCAGTTGGAGCCAAGCTCGCAGCTGGCAACTTCCTTCAAGTAAAGGATGGGCTCGAGTCCCACCTGCACATCCCAGCCCTGGATCCCTCCCAAGAAGCCCACAGAGATGCCCCTAGGGTAGGACCTCCATCCCTGCAGAAGCCTGCATTTCACCAAGGCCCTTTGACAACCGAAGCAATGCAGGAGCTGCCGGTGATGGAGGTAAGGCTGCCCAACGAGATGGGACCTCCAGCACCCTGGTGACAACAGGACACTCAGGTGCCACAAGGCTGCACCCGAGCGCTGTCAGTCCCTAGGAGCATCCCAGCCCAGCAGCACCCACCACACAGCAGCAACCCCAGCTTCCACCTGCACTCACAGCACGGATAATTCAAGAGCAGGATGTCATCCAAGCCCAGGTAGCCCCGGCGCTCGCTGGAGATCACCGCCTCGAAGAGGACCTGTGGCACCGAACAGAGGGGTCAGGCGCGGCGGAGCGGTCCCCTAACCCGGGACCGAGCCTTTGGAGCTGGCCCCATCTCCTGAGCAAAGGGATTTTAAGGCACATTTATAGCAGGTGACACGGGGTCTGTAAGGGATGGGGGGATCCGGGGAGGACTCACCTGGTACTCACTGGGCCAGAACAAGCTGACAGCCAGCTCAGCCTGGTGCCACTGGCGGCCGTGGGAGCCTGAGGCATTCCAGACCGCGCTGCCCACCGGGCCCCCCATCACCCGCACGTAGGCACTGAGGGTGCCAGGGCTGTGGCCATCGCGGCTGTACATGAAGTAGCTGAACTGCAGGCAGTGCGTGTCGTTCTCGCTCAGCGCCTGGAAGAGCAGGTGGGCCCGCTGACCGGCGGCGTGCTGCGAGGCGTTCACCATCAGATAGGAGCCTGAGGGAAAGGGAGAGGAGGGAGAGCGTGCAACTGTGCCTGGACTCAGCCCTGGGTTGGGGACACGAAGATGATCAGGGGGCTGCAGCAGCTCCCCTATGAAGACAGGCTGAGGGAGCTGGGCTTGTTCAGCCTGGAGATAACAAGGCTGCAGGGTGACCTCATTGCAGCCTGCAGTACCTAAAGGGAGCCTAAAACAGGAGGGGAATCAACTCTTGGAAAGGGGGATAATAGCAGGACAGGGGGAAATGGTTTGAATTAAGGGAGGGCAGATTGAGGCTGGATGTCAGGGGGAAGTTCTTTGCTATGAGAGCGGTGAGGTGCTGGAACAGCTGCCCAGAGAGGCTGTGATGCCCCGTCCACCCCTGGAGGTGTTCAAGGCTGGGTTGGATGGGGCCCTGGGCAGCCTGGGCTGCTATGAAATGTGGAGGTTGGTGGCCCTGCCTGTGGCAGGGGGTTGGAGCTTCATCATCCTTGAAGCCCCTTCCAATCCTGGCCATTCTGTGATTCTGTGATGAGGGAAGGCTGAGGCAGACTGTCCCCCTGTGACACCAAACCCCACTGCACGTGCCTCCAAGCCCTTAATGGCTTCAATGCAGACCCTGCAGCTTCCCATTAATGCCCACAGCTCCAGCGGTGAGCCCCCACCCTGACCCGACCTATTTAATTCTCATTTCCTTCGTATCATTGAGCACGCAGTTGTTGCTGATTTTAAACTGTGCTCAGCAGGCTTTCGTAGGGATAAAAGTGCCTACCAGCATAATGGGCCCACTGGGATGCCCACATCCTGCTGTCCCCATCCCCAGAGCCTTCGGTCCCCCACCAGCAGGCACTGCTGCAACCCAAAGCCACCAGCGGTGCCGATGCTCATCCATAAGGACTGAACACCCAAAGGGGACCCAAAATGCATCACCCACCCTGTAGGCTGCACAGCAAAACCCTGCCATGGAGGAGCAGAGTCCTGCAGCCATTGGGGTCCCACGGCCAGCTCTGCCTCTAACCCACTCCAGCAAAGACAAAATCATTCATATTCCATCCATTTTAATAACTGCACATGCTGTAACTAACAAAGCCAGGCCATTTATCCAAGTCAACCATTGTTTTCCTGACAGCAGCCCCTTAATAATTAATAGTTCTCATCGCTGTTTAATTTACATGAATCCACGCACTGTCCTCCCACCAAGCAGCTCTTGGGCACCCAGTGAGCCTAGCAAAGGCACGGGGACGTCCATGTGCCTGGGAGCTGCACTCATGGCTGCTCCCACCTGCACCTGGGGAAAGGCAGCGCTGCACCACAGCACCTCCTCCATTGCATCCCTAGGGATGGGAACCAGTGAACAAAAGGGGAAAGAAATGAAATCACCAAAAAAAAAAAAAACAAAAAACCTAAAATTTGGGCTGTATCCACAGGTCTGCATTGCCACTCCGCATCTGAGCCCTTCCAGGCAGACGTTCAGGGTGAAATAAACTTATTTTCCTCAGATAACACAGCTGTATTTCACAGAGAGAGAGGAAGCCAGCGTGTGGCTATTCCTTCTGTAGCTGTCATGGTGCTTTTTGTTTTTTTTCTTTTCCTTTTTCTCCCATCAAAATTATTGCCAAAATCCCACACCAACCCACGGGACGCCTCTGAAAGCAACTTCAGCCCACCTGACCTTTCAGGCTCCCATCAGGACACGGTGCCCTTCCTCCTGCCCACAAATAAAACCAGAGGATGTGAGAAATAAGGAGGCTGAGACTAAAATTAGACCCCCAAGGAGTTATTTGAACGACTGAGCTGTGTCTGATGGGACTGCTGCTGCAGCATCATGGCCAAACGCGGAGCCCTGGCTGGCAGCTCCTCCTTGCTCTGGCAATAGGCTGGATGGGTGCAACATCCCTCAGGCTTTCTTGCAGGTATTTTTCCAAATTTCGGCATGTTTCTGGCTGTTTTTCAATACAGCCCATTTCTCAAGGCAGCACAGCCCCATCTGGGTGCCCCCAGGAGCAGCAGTGGGGCAATGCCAGCACGCAGGGACTGCAGCACTCGGTCCCAGTGCACCGTGCAGCCCCACAGGGCTTGCAATTAAACATTATCCTAATTGCTTCAAGCAGAGCCAGAACCCAGGAGGCAGAGAGGCTGCATCCCTGCCCTGCAGCATCCCAGAGCCACGGGGCCGGGCAGCCAGAGTGCAGTGCTGTACCACAGCTGTGTTTTCTGAGCCCTGTCCATACGCTGGCAGTACAGCAAAACCCACTCCAAAAAGCACAATGGGAATTATTCCCAAGCCTCACATGAAACGGGCATCTTCAGCAGTCACAGGAAGGGGACACGACCCACCAGGATGCCTGCAGCCCCCCAGGAAACCTTTCCTCCCCAGCAGCACTGAGTCCATTAGAGCAGAGAGTTTGATCGATGCTGTGCTTCGTTTGGTAAATCCTTTCTCTGCTGTTCAATCCAATGTAAGGTCAGCTTTAATTGACACACCAGCCCTGCGGGCTGTCACCTCGCCTTGTCACCAGGAGTAATGAGCCATCCCCTCCAGGACAGGCAGCCCCTCTGCCTGGGAGGACACGGGCAATGTAATTTAATTCAGTTTTCAGGTGCGTTTCCAGGGAGAAGCCCAACTGCTCTGCAGAGACGCAGAAGAGTCTTAAAAGCGCTAAATAACATCTCGAATGAAAACAGAAATAAGTTTCTGGCTGTGTTCCCAATGGGAAAAACAGCACATCGGTAGGTTAAAGTTGTCAGCAAGGAGAATCTGAGGTCTGAGCTGCAAAATCCACTCTGCTTCTGAAGTCTGTGTATGGCAAGCCCTGGACCTGTCCCTGCAGTCCTTCTGCAAGGTCTCCAGCCTTGCTTCCCCATCTGAGGACATGAACCCTCCCTCAGATCCCAACCAGGTGCTTTGGGAGCACCAGCAGCAGTCCAGCCCTTCTCCCCCCCCCCCCCCCCAACTTCACATCTCATTCAGTTTTTATCCCAGGAAACCACAAAGAGGGGATAAAAATGGAAAGCTACAAAGAGGCAGCAAAGCAGCACACGAGGTGAGCAGCAGCACCCAGCTCCTGCCCTGAGCATCTCCCCAGAGAGCCCCAGCACCAACCCCACCATCACATGGGGGCTCAGAGGTGCCACATCTGGGAGCCAAAATCAAGGCCAGTTTTCTGAGCCCCAGTGCTCAGCGTGTGATTTATAGAAGAGACAAGCAGGGAAGCAGCTGCTCCACAGAGGGATCTTTTTAGTATCACTGAGTTTGGAAGGAAAACTTTTCAATGCTTTGCAATGCAAACCTAGCAAAAGAAGCTGTTCACGAAGCAGTGCTCCGTCCTGCACCTGCTCCATCCAACAGATCCCAACATCACTCCAGCAATCCCAGCCCATCTTCAGCCCAAGTGTGGCTGCAGCCCAGAAACAAGCTGAAAAAGCAAAACTGCAACGTGGGAGAGCCCCATCCGTCTTCTTTATGGGAAAGAGGGAGACGAGTCAAGATGGAAAGAGAGGGAAAAACAAACACAGCAAGAAAACAAAAAGAAAGAGGGGAAAAAAAGGTAGAGGCGGGTGGCCTGCAGCCAGCATCCGCTCCAATAAATCCTGTGCTCTTGAAGCTGGCTGATCTCCAAGAAAAACTCATTTTAATCCAAGACCACGAGACTCCTTTGTGAAGTGCTCCCCGGAGGGATCCTGGAGCTGTGCAATGATGTTTCTGCTGGTGGGGCACCTTGGGGAGCCCCCTGGAAGGAGCTGAGCACCCTGCAAGTGCCACCCACCCACTGCTCGCTGACCCGTGCTGGGGCTGGGACCCCCTCACTGCACATCCATGGGCTGCACCATGCCATGCTGCAGGCTCCAGCCACCTGCAAGCCCCCTGGCTTCAAACTGGTATGCTTCGTTGCTGCTTTTAAATTGCAGCTGAAAACTGAGCAGAAACTCCAATTACAGGTTTGAGGCTCTGACATCAACCCCCAGCATCCCCTCCCCAGCTCCGCTTCCCGCTTCACTGCCCCCAGGTCAAAGCCCCATCAAGGAACAAATTAGGTTAGCTCAGTTTAAAGCAATTATCTCCATTATCTGTAATTATTCCTGTGGCAGAAGACTGCTTTGGGTGCCCAGGATGTGCCAATCCCCCTTTACCCCCAAATGTCACCCAGGGCACTGCCCAGGGAGGGGGCTTACAGCAGTCCCCCCATCCCAGCCATCAGAGCAAGGATCCAGACCCACAAAGTAACAACGAGCGGCTTGAAAGTGATGTGAAAAAGACAAAAGAGAAGAGAAAAATCTCCCTCTGCATTTTTTTCTCTCACAGCTCCTGAGACGTCAGGGCTGCCTGCAGCTCACAGCCACGAGCATCTGCCCATATCACAAGAGCCAGAAGCACACTGCTCCCTTTCCCATGACTCCTGGAGATGGGGATTTCTCACTAGCCATCAAATACAGCAGAAAGAGCAGAGGTGCCTTTAAGGAGGGATTTTGGGTACCATCCTTGCACTGCTGCAAGGAAAGTCCAGACTGGGGGCACGCCTCCCTGCAGCACAGCCTCAAGTCCTGTGTCCCCAAACTGTGACATCCCCAGGGCCACATTAAGGACCAACACAGCTCATCACACCTTGCCGTGGGGCACAGCAGCATCCCACCGACCACGAGATGGAGGGTGAATCAAGTCAACCCAGGGCCAATTCCCATCCCAGGCATGTGACCAGCTGTGGGTTTGGGGTTGGGACTCACCGTGGGGCAGGTCGGCCGTCAGGTGTGGCATCATGTAGCTGCGGACCAACTCCCACCCGAAGTCATCATCCTCACCCTGGCTGTACTCACACTGGTTCAGATCGTCGTCCTCCTCGAAGGTGCAGCCCGCTGCGGACAGACAGACACACAAATCAGCCCCGGAAAGCAGCTGCTCTGTCCCCAGAAGCCCAGCTGGGATGGATGCTGTCGCACCCTACACAATATTGAGGTGCACCCAGCCATCCCCCCACTCCCAGCTCCCACTCCTGCAAGCGCAGGAGCAAAGCTGCCCCGTGCCTCTCCCCCTCCACTGCCATGCAGTGAGATGAGCTGCCAGGCCTCGGCCCCAGGGAGGTCGCAGCTGACTCAATGACCTCAGAGGTCTTTTCAACTTAAACGAATCCATGATCCGACTCGAGCTGCAGATCTGCACACTGCTGCCACAACAGTGCCAAGCCTCAGACAAGACTTCCAGCAGCAACAACAGCAACTGCACTGCTGGACTCCGAGCTGCAGGCTGTCACCTCTGAGCACCTTCAGTTGTTTCTTTCCCTTTGCAAAGAGCAAAGCTGAAAGCTGCACCAAAGCATTTGTGGTCTGTAGGGCTCCAAATCCATCCCTTCTCCACCCTTCCATCCATCCATCCATCCATCCATCCATCCATCCATCCATCCATCCACCCATCCATCCTCCCCCAGGAAAATGAGATCTGGGGAGCTGTTGCAGGCTGCCTCATTAACACTGCCCCAATGTTTTACTAAAATCACTGATTACAAGGAAAGGCCTCCAGGGGGGAATTAAGCCCCTGGGCTGGTGAGGGCAAGCACGTTAGGAAAGCCGTGAGCAAACAGGAGGAGAAAGGCAAATGTCCCCTAATGGGTCAGTGGGAAAGCAGAACACAGGTCAGGGTGACACTTGTGGGTTTTTTGTATTTTAATCCCAAATTAAACCTCCCAGTGCTGGGTTATGTGGGCTTGAAGGGCAGGGACCTCACAGATCTCCAAAGAGCACCAAAACAGCCAGCTTACCAAACCCACTACTGCAAGACATGCACAAAATCATTCTTCCCAACACTTAAGATATATGAGAACAGAATTGAGCTTTTCTCTCCCTTTACACTCAGTGTTTAAAGCACTGGGGAGCACTCCAGCCTCAGCATCGAGCTTTCTTTCCTCCCCAGAACAACAAGAATGGGAAACTTCTTTTAGAAGGACTAAAAGCAAATCTTCTCCCATTCAGAGCACCAAGGAACGGAGCCTGCCTGCTTTCTCAGAGCCTCTCACTAAAAGGATCATTTGTGCTGTGCCAGCGGTGCGTGGCAGTGCTGTGTGTGGATGCACTCCCAGCTCCTTCCCATCGCAGCATCTCCGGATCTGACAGCACCCACCACCTGGCTCAGCTCCCCAATGGGAAGGAGAAGTGATCAATTTTTCCCTCGAAGGAAAGGAAAAAAGTGCAAAAGTGTTGGAAATTTCTAAGTGATTTTGGTGGAGAAAAAAAAAACAAGAGCACATTTTCCATCTGAAGTCTGTTGAGTGGGTATTTGGAAAGGGAGAAATTTGTTTGTGGGGATGATTTATTCCATCCCAGAGAGCCACAGGGCTCTGGGAGGCACGTGGAGCTGGCTGAGCCTTGTGTCCCAATGAAGGATCCCCCATCTCTGCTCCCACAGAGCATCCTCACCGCTCTGCCTGCACAGCCCCTTCTCCACACTGCATGGCATCACCTGAGCTCCCAGACCCCCACATCCCAGTGGCCAACCCAGTGTCCTCCTGCAGCTGTGAAAGCAAGGTACAGACAGAGTCAGATACCTTCACGCCACTCCCCAAAAACTGAGGGTTTATCAACATGCCCTGTGGATGTTCCATCCCTGGAGGTGTTCAAGGCCAGGTTGGATGGGGCCCTGGGCAGCCTGGTCTGGTATTGAATGTGGAGGTTGGTGGCTCTGCCTGTGGCAGGAAGGTTGGAGATTCGTGATCCTTGAGGTCCCTTCCAACCCAGGCCATTCTGTGATTCATGCTTGCAAGCAAGGCAAGGCTTCCCTGCAACCTAAAATCCCCACCTGCAAGCACCAGGATGGCTTTTATCCACCCAAAGGATGCTGGCAGCAGCTCGTGCTCCACAGGAGCTGCTCAGGGTCCCAGATGCTTCCTAAAAACTTACAAACGGAAACACAGAGCCCCCGCAGCAGCCCCTGCCTTGGTTCAGTGCCAGGGAAGGAGCAGCTCCAAGAGCTGGAGGAGGTGAGAAGCAAGCAGCAAGAGCAGATTAAAATATCAGCGTGGGCACGACTGCCTGGTGCCAACAGCTCTGAGCATCCCAGATGATGCTGGAGCAGCCCAAATTAGCTGACAGCCCCCGAAACCCAGGGGATGGAGAGGGAAGAGACGACAGATCCATGCAGAGGAAGGAGGGAAAGAGAACACGGAGCAGCAGGCATGCCTGCCCACCTCTTCCATGCATGGAGGCGGTGCTCCTCTCGCCTTGATGTTAATTATGTCCTTTGCTGCTTAACACTGTGGGACACGCTCCAGGGGTTTCTCCTTGTTGTTATGGAGCATCCCAGGGATGTGTGGATGGGGACCCAACACGGCGCCCCATAGCAATGCTGCATCGACCTCAAAGAGAGGCTTTAGAAACAGGGCTGTGCCCCAAATGCAGGCTGCCCCAAGCTCTGGTTAATGCAATAGCCAACATCTCTCCCCTGTACACCTGGGTAAGATGGTCTCGGTTCTGCCCTTAGATGCAAGGCAATGACACTGTGAGTCTGGAACCCCCCTACACCCCCATGGCCCTCTGCCAGCCCAAGCTGGCACCGGGTTCCCTCCAGCCACAGCAGCGATGGGACACGCAGCAGGATGGGGCAGCAGAGTAGCAGGGACACCCAGGAGCACACAGGGATGCTGCACATTCCCTGGCCACAAGCACACAGCGCTGCACAGCTCCCAGCCCAACAGCAGCACCCGGCTGTGCTGTTTCCAGGCTCTGCTGGAAGGAAGCTCCCACGTGCAAGCAGCAGACGCGGGGGATTGGGAACTGCAACCTGCAAGCTCACTCTGCTCCCTGCAGCAGCTCAGCCCATGCGCTGCAGCATCCCTCCTCCCGACCCCACTGGTGCACAACGCCCCACACTGCAGCACCTCTGCTCCAATGCTGCCCCAGCCCCAAATCCCCCCCAGCTGGAATCTCTGCAGCTTAAAAGCCCCTTGAGTTCAGCGAAAGGGAGATGAGCACTTGGGACACGAACACAACAGCCACACGTGCATCACACGCATCAGATTTTGCCACAATCCCAATCCCCGCTTCTCTTCATCGCCCATTTTGGCAAAATAGAAATGTCTTAAAAAGAAAAAGAAAAAAAGGACTCATTTCCTGGACCCGATCAAAGCTGGTTAGAAGGATATGGAAAGCAGCGACATTAAGATTCTTGCCAGTAGTTTGTTTTGCTTCTCCAAATCATTTTAAATATTGCGTTTAATAGAAAAATAATTTGCTCAGCTGTAAGGAACGTCAATTTGCAACTTGAAGCCTTGTACATTAGCCAAAGAAGCTAATGTGTAAACATTAGCAGCTCCAACAACGCATGGGGCTTAGCCAATGCAATTCCAGGGAGAGAATAGCCAGATATTAAGACAGAGGATTTGCATAATAAGTCACTTACGCCTGATAACCCCAGTGCCTGGCACAGGGCTGGGAGAACAACATCCATCCACCAGCAGCTGCAGACGTCACCCATCTGGGGTGCTGCAGACCCTCCTGATGGCTCCCACCTGCAAAGCCCTCACTGCTGGGACCCAAAACGGTGCTGAGGTGCTGCAGCACTCCCAGGTCCCATAGGAAATAGGGCAGGAATGCAATGTAGTGCAGGGAGAAGGCAACGTGTATGGGGCTGGTTTGTGGGCTGATGAGCTGCAATACGGGCACTGCCATAACGAACCATCACTTAATGAACAAAGTCAGGGCTGCCTCTTCTGCACTAAAGGAAGAAAAACAAAGGCAGGCTTTTGGAAACCCACGGTCCTGGAGTTATCGATTGCTCACAGTGCAATTAAGCCTCAGGGCTGACAGCTCTGCTCCTCCTGCACTTTGGGGGGGGGTGAGAAGGGGGGGAAATGGCTAAAAAAAACAGGTGATCTGGCCTTTCCTGCCCCCCGTTACCAATGGATGCCTGCAGGGAGGGCTCCCAGCTCCATGTGCATCCTGACAGCCACGCAGAGCAGGAGCAGTCCCACTGCAAAGCACAGGCTGGCAGCTCCAGGTGTTGCTGTGATCACACTGTAAATCCGGAGCCACCAGAGCCCTCCGCTGCCTTTCCCAACAGCTTATTTATTGCTTTTAATACCTCCCTCCTTTTGCTCGCAGCGCTGTCTACAGAGCCGGGTTTGCTCTGCAAATGGTCCGTGTCATTTGTCAAAGAACTGAATTCCTCTTTTCTCCTGAACACGCAGGGGCTCTGGGAAGGGCTGTGTGTGCCAAGCAGTCTGCGCAGCGCCCTGCTCTGCTCCCAAATGCACAGCAGCCAGTTGCTCAAATACAGCAGGGACTCAGCAACACTTGCCAAGATCGAGCCTTGCACAGAGCCCCAGCTCTGACCCAAGCCCTGCATTTTGCTGCAGGCAGGCAGACGAGAGGCAGAACTGAGCCACAGCAGCGCTGGGTGCATCCTGGCCATCACACAGCTTCGCCCTTCTCCTTTCTCTTCAATCTGTTGCAGCTTCTGCCACGCAGAGGATTGGCCACGTAGGGACCTCATCAAGGCTGGGGATGCAGACACCGGGCAGCAGAAGTGGATTCACCCAGTGAGTGATGCTCATAAAACCAGAAATTCTCCAGCACTGAGATGTGCTGCTTCACTTTGAGATTGTTAAACACAGGAGCGAAGCGGGACTGCTGTCAGCTGGGAAACAAAATCAATGGAATGTTATCACACAGCAAGGGGAAGCAGAAGGCGGCTGTTAGGCTGAAAATAAGACCCCAAAGAAGTGAACAGCACAGGGAGAGCTCTTGGGAAAAGCCCCTTCTGTCCCTGCACAGGAGCATAGGGATCAGTGGCCCTGCAACCCAATCCGCCTGGCTGCAACTGGGTGAACTAAACCTGGGCATTATGCAGAGAGCATTCATTCAGGGCCACTGAGGGATCTCTGCTTGCTGCTGATGGGTGCAGCCCTACATGGCACCCAGTGGACCAACCCAGGACATGGCAAATGCTTCACATTTGGTGCTGAGCCCCTCAGGCACCACCACTTACGCATCTCATTTTGTGCCAAGCAAAGTCTTTGGAGGTTCTCAGCGAGCCAAAAGCTCTGCCGGAGCCACATAAAGGCCCATGAGGAATATGGGATACCCTATGACCACAGACACCAGCCCTATACAGATGGCTGTATCCCAGAGCATCCCCAACTGTGCAGTCCCAGGGCACTTCCAGATCCACCCAAGCAAGGAAACTCTGCTTGTCTGCAATCCGTTCATCCACCATGTGATGCTCCACCTCCTTCAGTGCATGGGGCTCCAGCAGCAACAGGAAGACCCCAGGCAGCCCCCAAAGGCCCCTCACTGGGAAGCAGCAGCTGAGTCTCAGCATTCCATCCCTGCAGTGCCATCATCCCTGTGATGCCATCACCCCCACGGTGCCCCAGCTGCAGCGATGGGATGCGGGCAGGCAAAGCACTGGGCTGGAGCAGTTCGTGCTCCCATCTGTACTGATTGGGATCACTGCAGTGGATGGCTGTGGCACAGGGACACACGTGAGGCTCAGGCAGCCCGGGGGCTCCGTGCCATTGCTTCTGTCAAACCAGCAGCACTGCAGGGACAGCAGCCTTGTTACCACGATCAGGTCACCACAGTCCCCTCGTGCTGTCGAGGCTCAAACAGCAGCTCAAGCCACTGCCCTCATTAAGTTAATGATGTCCCACCAGAGCTCACACACACAGAGGGGCCCGGGCAATCAGCTCAGCTTGCTGGGGTCTCCCAGCCCAAAGGGTGAAGCTTGCACTGCCGCAGCCACCCCACGACAGGCAATTCCCTGCTCTTTTTCAAGCTACATCACAAAGCGCAGATTCAGAGCATCGCTCCGGCCTCAACATTTACACCCTCCATCTACAGCACCGCACTGCTCCGTGCTGCTCTGGGCTCCACGCCGGTTCCCCACGCACCGGGACTTCGCTGCTGCAGCGGCCGCTGTCCCCGCTCCCTCTGGCGGCCGCGCACGGCGCAGCGCCCGGAGCGCCGGGGATGTCCGCAGTTCAGCTTTGGGATCCGATGTCCGCTCCTCAGCTTTAGGATCGGGCAGCTGGGGAACGGCTCGGAAACACGCAGCCATCGAGCTTTGCTGGGAATTAAAACCCGACGTCCCTGCGCTCGTTCCAGGACTTGAGAGAAGCCGGGTTGCTGTTAGGAACGGGGCAAAGCCAAAGAGCAGTCGGTGCTCAGCACCCCACGGTGCACAGCAGGAACGGTGCGGGGAGCTGCCAGCATCCAGCGGGTCTGTGCGCCTCCAACACCAGCCCCGTGGGTGAGAACGGGGCTGAGCTTTACAGCAGTGTTGGACTTTGGATCCGTGCACCAGGAAACAGCTCTGCAAACACCAGCGCCCTTGGAGCAACAACGGGGAAGGGCCTCTGGTGACTGCCAGCCCTCACCCTCCTCCTCCTGCCCACAGCCGCCCTTCGGCCCCGTGTCCCCAGGATGCCCCGCAGCTGCACCAATGCCCAGCACCTCCATGACCCTCATCTGGATGCGTCCCAGCACTGAAACCAACAGCAGCTCTGCCAGGCAGCGGCGGAGCGGAGCTCCAAGAGGCCATCTGCAGCGGAAAGAGAGTCTGTCTCCAGGATGGGTTTATTTGAAGGCTGCCAAGAAGGAGGAGATCAGCCCCGGGGGGGGGGGGGAAGCGTTGGGAATCCTCCTCACCCTGGAGAGAAGAGCCTCAGGTTCCCCACTATCACTGCTTTGGGACTGGGCGAGTGCCACAGCATGGGGCAAATGCTCCAGGGGACGATGCTGCAGGGACAGAAACGGTGCTCAGGGGCAGCTGCAGAGCAAAGCCTCCAGCTGCCTTTGGGAGAGGAGGAGGAGAAGGGTTGAGAATGTGACATTTAATCACACAGCAACGAAAGGTTCCCAGACACGTCTAATAAGACAATTATAGTGCATGTTAATAATAGATTATTAAAAAGCTTATTTATGGAGGTTTAAGCAGGCAGATGGCGGGGCTGTGTTGATAAGGCTCTCCCCAGCCCTGCTCCGAGCATGCGGAAGGGATTTACCTGCTCCTGCTGCTTAACCCCTTCGTGGCTACCAGCAGCAAGGCTGCAAACAGCTGGGAGGGGACCTTTAAGGGGTGCCACTAGCAGGCAGAGGGAGCAGAGCCCAGGGGGGAGTGGTTCTCAAGGGCTCTGGGAACTGTGCTGAAAAATGGCTGTGAGCAAAGCAAGCTCCTTCCTGGTGCTAAATAGGGGAAAACATTCAATTTGGAGGAAAAACACTGTCCCCATGGGATGGCAGTGGGGGGGGCTGCTGCTGCCCAGGCAAGGATCAGAACCTCTGATTTCCAGGGCTTGGATCCTGCTGGCTACGAGCAGGGAATGCTCCTCAGGAAGCTGAGATTTGGAAGGTTTGCCTTAGTTTGGATAAGGGAAAAAATGCTCAGCGCGGGCCAGGAGGTGACTCACCAGGACGGGGGGCAGGTCCAGCACTGCCTGCAGCCCAGGAAAACAACCAGGGAGAGCAGCACCGGAGCAAAAGCAAAGCACACACAGAGGGGACTGAAATAAGAGCACCGAGCTCTGACATCCCCCAGCTCTGCTTCACCTCCACAGGCAGCAAAACCCTCCGTGCCCCAGTGCTGCTGGGGAGAGGGGAATATGGAGAGATGGAAACAGGGGGTATGGGAGGAGGGTGCTGCATTCCAAGGACAGCATTGTGAGCTTTTGGGGACCCTGCGAGGGGTCTGCATCATGACCTGCCACTGCAGCACCAAGCAAGGCATAAAAAGCAAAGAAACGCAGATGGAACAGCAGCCAAGGGAAAGATTCCTCACAGCGTAACAAGAAAAGGCAGGAGGGCAAAAAATAAACGCATCCCAGCTGCCAGCAGCACAGCCCCGACCCAGGCCAGCCCCCGGGGTCCCGACCCAGAGCAGGGATGCGAAGCTCCATCACCTCCATTATCTCGTGATGAGGACGCGGCCGTTACAGAGCGACGCGGCCGCATTTGTTCCGCTCCCCGACCCCAAACCCGACAAAGGGAACGCGGCCGCTTCCATTCACTCGGCGCAGACAATGCGGGGTCAGAGGAGAGGCCAAACCAATCCCCCCTCTCCCCCCCCCCCAGCCCAGCCCACCCCAATGCCACTGTCCTGAGGCCGCCGCGAAGCCCCACACTCCGGGAGTGTGGGAACCTCTCCTAAAGGAATGATCCAAAGCCAAATATTTTAATGCCGTTGAGTGCTCGGGATGCTGCTGGAAGAGCCTCCAGTAGGGACGAGCAGCGCATCCCCCGGAGCACCTCCGAATCGAAGCCTTGAAGAGGTGGAAATGAGCAGCTCGGCACCCTCTACAGCCCCACACACCAAGGAGCCGAGCAGCAGGTGCCCGCTGCCCTGCAGCACCTGACAGCAAGGCGATGCGCCCCCGGAGCCCCCGTTGCGAGCAGCGCAATGCCGACAGCTCAGCCACGGCGTGATCGGAACGAACCGCTGAAGTTCGTGCGCTCCGGAGAGGAGAGCGGAGCATCCCGATGGCACAGGGTGCGCGTCCCAGAGTGGAGGAGACGCTGAGATTAACGATGGGATGGATGGAATAACGGCCCCATATGGGATGGGGGGAGGCACACAGAGCCCCGCGCGTTACGGACCCGAACCGCAGCATCCTCGGTCCGTCGGAAGGGCACCGCGTGGGGCAGCGGGGCTGAGCCCGAATTCGGTTGGGGCGGCACCTCCAGCCCCAAACCCTGCTAAAAACGGGGGAAAACACAACGACCCCCCAAACCACCCAGAGCGCAGCGCTTCAGACACGAATCGCCTCCACGGCGAGCCGCCACCGGAGCGCGGAACCCCCCGGAGCTGCGGGCACAGCCCCATCCCGAGTGGAGCAGCGCAGCTCCGTGCCTCAGTTTCCCCGCAGAGCCGCTCAGCCCCGCACCACACGCGGTCACAGCGAACGAACACCGCAGAACGCCGCGACGCAGCCAGACCCGGAACGGTTCCCCGTCCCCGCCCCGTGCCTCAGTTTCCCCGTACTACCCAAAAACCCACCGCCCTCCCCAAACTCCAAGCGAGGGGTAACCACGCACCGGACCCCCACCCACCCCGCACCGACCGCTCACCGGAGGGCGTCTCGGTGTCCAACGCGCAAACCCGCAAAGCGAGGGCGAGCAGCAGCGCCCGGGCGCTGCGCATGGTGCGAAGGCGGCGGCGGGGCGGAGGGGCCGGGGGCGGCCGCCGACACCACCGCCACCGCCGCCTCCTGCGGGCCCCCCGGATCCGGCGCAGCGGGGCCCGCGCGTCCGCCCCGCTCCTCAAATAGCGGCGGCCCCGCGCCGCCGTGACGTCAGCGCCGCCGGCCCCGCCGCCTCCACCGCCGCCACCGCCGCGGGCAGCGAGAGAGGGCGGGGAGAGGGCGGGGAGAGGGCGCCCCCTGGCGGCCGTACGGCGAGTAGGCAGCGCGGTGCCGCCCCCGCTGGGGGGGGGGGAGGGTTGCGGGGTGAGCGGTTGTGAGGGGCTGAAGGCGGTTCTGAGGGCTCGCGGTTGCAGCAGGGGTGTAGGGGGGTGTAAGGTTGGGGGTGCGTGATGACAGCGGGTTGGTAGGTGGGGGAAGTTGCAAGCTTGTGGTTGCAAGGGGTGATTGGTCTGGGGGGGTGCAGGTGGGGGTGGGCGTGATTGCGTGATGGATGGAGGTTCTGGGGGTGCGTGGTGGGGTGCGCGGCTCGAGGGGGTGCACGCTTGTGCAGCGGTGATGAAAGGCTGTAGGAGGAATCCCTGGGTGCTGTTGCTTGGGGTGATTGGTTGATGGGGAGTGCAAGATTGGGGGATGCTTGGTTGCATCTTGGGGTTGCATGGCTGCTGAGGGGTGTGCAGTTGCAGGATGTTGACAGGGAATGCTCAGCACGGCTGCATGGGAGCAGTAGTGGCAATGGTGGGGTGGCACCCCGCAGTGCCACCATCCCTGGGATCAGACAGGTGGTGATGGAAGGAGAGAGGTGCAGCAAGAGCAGGGAAGGGGGGAAAAAAAAGCATCCAAAGGGCAGAAAAAAATCTGCACAGGGCCCATAGGGACGTGGCAGTGTCAGGGGATGAAAGGGCTCTTGTTCATCTGCACCCTCTGCAGCAGGAAAATGTTTACTCAAAGGCTGGGGGGGCGAGTTCTGTCATCCAGCTCAGCTCTTCCCTCTGCGTGCTCTGTGCTGCTGTTGCACCCCCAGTCCCTTTGTTTTATCCTTACGGGGTAAAATCCAACCAGGCAGAAGCACTGCACCCTCCCAGCACAGCGCAGCCTATTTGTCATTAACCAGCAAAATCAAAGCTAAATCCCTCCATTCTGCACCGCTGAGGTCTGCAGCTGGCACGTGGCTCTGTGCATCCCTGGATTCACCCCAGTGCCAGCCTGGCGCCAGCTGCAGGTCTGTGCACAGAGCAGGATGCACCAGCCTGCACCACCAAGCTGCAGCCAGGTCCGTTCAGGGGCCTTCATCCATGCAGCGAAGAGGAGGAGAAGGAGTTGGGTGCTGTCTGTACATGGTTTTCCTGCCATGGAGCAGCATATGCTCTGGGAGCATGGCAGTGCCCTTGGGACAGCTGTGTCCTCATGATACAGCTGAGCCCTGGGTTTGGTCCCTGGGACCACATCCCCTTCCCATCCCCACCCCACCTCCTGCTGCCATCACAGCCCCCAGCGCCTGCAGGAGCAATCGAGCTAAAATGAAGTAATCACTCTTCAAGTGCAGTCATTTGCAGAAAAAACGCAGGCCTCTCCGTGATTGCAAATGGTCTCTGCTGAAACCCTCATTCCCATTCCAAGGATAAATGTTTGCAGCTCCAGTGTGACGGCAGCCTGCAACACAGCCCTCGTGTCCTCACTGCGTCTCTGGATTCCACTGGATCGGGGACAAAAAGAAGGGGTTTGGGGCTTTTGAGCCTCCTGGGAGCCAGCAGTGCTTTGGGGAGGATGCTTTCCTCTCGCTCATAAAAGGACAAAGTGATGGAGCAGGGCTGGCCCGTAACCCCCCAGCACCCATGGGATGGTGGGCTGCAGGAGCTGCCCTGCACTGAGTGGGACTCCAACCCCCAAAACTCTCCTTTCTGGCTTATTTCAGAGCACCACACTTTCTCCCTTTTTCCTGTGAGGACACAACCTGGCTGTGCACCCCCAGCACTGTGCAGCCATCCCACACCCCACTTTTTTACCTTCTGCTTTTGTCCCTCTATCTCTCCCACGCCGCCCTCTCTCCCTCTCCCCCCTTCCCTTTGCTTCCCTCTTCTTTTTTCTATTTCTCTCCCTATTACACCACCATCCAGTCCCTTACCTCTAATAAGTCCCCGCTATTTTCTCAAATCACCGCCTTTTCCTAATGCCCCAAATCCTTCTCTTTCTTAGCAGACAAAACAGCTGATCTCATCCCGCCCAGCGGTCAGGCCGGATGTAATGGGGCTATTAGATGAGTTATCACTGCCTGAAAGGATGAAATAACTCTGTGCCTTCACCCAAATAAACCAGCAGAGCCACTCGTGGTCCTGTGCATGGCAGAGAAGGAGCAAGAGCTCCCGGAGGAAAGAGCTGTGAAGATGCTGCAGGATGTTACACGGTGTGATGTGGTGTTAGAGCATAGAGTTGTGCTGTGTCACTTCAGACTCAGCTCCTCTGCCCTGGGGTTTCCCAGTGGGGAAATGGGAAGAGCTCAAAAACTATTCCAGAGAGCATCACCCACCAGGCTGCAGTGCTCGACGCAGGGCCACAGCTGCAATCCCAAGCGTGTGGATTCGCCCCTTTCTGATTTCAGCAGTAAAATGGTTTTGATAAGAAAAGAATGAAGGCACAACAACCCGGTGAATCTGCCCCCAGAACACAGCGTTGTCTCCTCCAACACTGACTTTTTTCCTTAAAAGAAAGCAAGGTGGGAAATGAATCAGCCCATGTGCTTTGGGACCCTGATGGCAACCAAGGCAACAAGAGCCATTCTGGGTTTGGGAGCGCTCAGCTTTCCCACTGTCACCTCTGGATGCTGCCAGGCCCCTACTCTGAGCAGAGGATGGAGCCGTGCTTTGTCCAGCATTCCTGATTACTTCTTCCTTTGGGGATGACACCGCTTTTCCAGTTGGTTTTCTTTCACTGGATTTGATTCTGGGTGCTGCCTGCCCTCCTCGCAGCTCCGCTTTGCTGCTCTTCCAAACTCCATCACAGAAAGGATGCGCTCGGCAGTTTGCAACACAAAGAGCTCGTCGGGCATTTGGGCTGAGCAGGGCTGAGCTGATGCACCAGCAGAGCCCCAGGAACAATGGATTCCCATCGCAGACAGCATTGCTTGTGCTCACAGTGCTGCAGCATTGGGAGAGCGTCGGCTCTGCTGTGGTCAGAGGCAGAATTGGGGACGTGGGGACCTGGGGCAGAGGAGGGAGGAAGAAAGTTTGGAAGAAACCTTAAAAGAAGCAGAAAAGGTGCTGATTTGATTCATTTCTGAGCGTTCTTCTAAACTATTTCAAGAGCTTTCCTCTGCCCAGAGGAGTCTCTGCTTTTATGGAATGCATACGTTACATGTATGCAAGGATATCAGAGCACGTGCATGCACGAGTGTGTTCAGGTATTTCTCTCCCTGCAAAAGGACCACGATGGCATTTTGGGTCCCCACTGCTCACAGCACAGCTGGATCCTTTGTCTGCTCCTTCCCTTATTGATGGCTCCAGCAAAGCCTCCTTTTTCATCTCATTGGCAGAGGATCAGAACTCATCAATCCTCAGTTAGCTGCTGAGCGCTCTGTTTCTTTTATTATTTTCTTTTATTATTATTATCTCAGAATGAAACAATTCAAAGGGAATAGGAGGAAAAAAAAAGTAATAATGCAGGCTGTTCTGGAGGCACAAGGCTCAGCCATTGGCGTGTGTACAGAAATTAATCCTGGGCAGCCACGTGCTGGCAGCTGCTGCTGTGTGGAGCGTTGGGCACAAGGGGGGCTTTAGGTGGAGGATTCAGAAGGGGTTATGGAATGGTCCAGCACTGCCAGAGGGGTTAAATGAGGGATCCAGGGCTAAGCTAAGGATTATAGAAGTGGTGCTTTAAGCTCAATACATTTTGTGTTTTCGGGTTCAGGTATGTCTGATCAAAAGGCAGTTGACCAGTTTGCCACCTTCTGCCTGGAATGGCTCAGCAGGTGATTCCCTGCATCTGTGTCCCTTTATGTTTCAGGCACAAAATCACAGCCAGTGTCACCCAGGTGCCACTGAGCTTTCATGAGCAGACCTGGGGCTGTGGGCCAAGCACCCCCCAGATGTGCACAGCCAAACCCAGCCCTCATTTTGCTTTCCAGCCATGAACACGAGTGACCAACCCGAATCAGCCGATGGGTGAGACAAACCTTTGCTCATTGGTTTTAAGCAGGAAAAGGGGAGCTGGGAGCATCGCTGAGCTCCTGGCAGAGCCATGCCTGTGCCACCACCTCGGCCCCATCCTCATCCCAAACCCCTGTCATGCAAATTTCTGTGCTCCTCTCCCAAAAAAAAAAAAAAATAAAATAAATGCAATTCCGGGAGATGAAGCAGCCATTAATCACCAGGAAATTGTGCTTGTTACAGGAGAAACATTAACAAAATAATCATAAATAGTCTGCCAGCCCTGATTTGCAAACACATACATTTTGAACCTTATGGAAAGGCGTCTCATTTTGCTCCAGTAATTAGCTATTAACCCTTTGCCACACAGCGTGGGCACCCGAGCTTCATGCTGTGCAGGCTCACCCACATTGCTGCATCTTAAACGTGGCTGCATCCATACTTTCAGGATGCAGCTGTGCTCGGGCTCCCACCAGATGTGGGGAAAAGAGTTTGTGCTGAGGAAATGGAATCCTATGAGCTGGGGAAAGGAAATGGGCTTTGGAACCCACAAAGCTGAGCCTGGCTCCACCTGTGCCAGCACTGCTGTGTATCTCTTAATGTTACGAGTGCTGTCGGTGCTCTGCAGCACTTGGGCAGCAGTTGGCAGAGCAGAAACCTTCCTCTCCCCTCCAAACTTCACCCAGAATAGCAGCAAGGCAGAAAAGTCCCCATCTGCTGCCTCACAGAGGCTCCTTCTCACCACCAAGGCTTTCCCTTCCTTCTGAACCCTCCCCCAGTCATGCAATTCACAACCCCAAAATGTTATTTTTCCTTTTTATTATTATTAAAACAACCTTGGAACACGATGCCAGTTGACT